AGTATATATACATGGAATTTTAAGCATTGAGTTTAGCTATAATAATTGTGAGTATATTATGTCAAATTTTATATATTAATAAAAATCATATTTATAATTTTTGAAATTTTATGAGGATAGATTTAACTAGTAAAAAAAAATTTTAATTTTAACTTAAATAGATATGTATTATTTAAATTTAAATCTCAATATATATATATATATATATCTACATACAAATACCGTAATATTATGAACCTAAATTTCAACATATATTTAGACTTGAATTTTGAATTGGTAAAATAGAATTTTATATAATCTAAAAATTAATAATTCATTCTACACCTAACTTCAAACCTAAATAATACATTTTATATTTTTTAAAAAATAATGAAACTTTCCTAACCTAACTCCAAACCTTATTCTGAAGCATAGAATCATACAAAAGTCATCTTGAAGTACAAAAATATGGCAAACTAAAATTAAACACGTAGCATTCTCTCACAACTTTAAGCCCTACTTTTATAATATTTTTTAAATATTTAAACAGATAGATATTAATATAAATTTTAATCTAATATATATATATATATATATGGAATTATAAGCGTTGAGTTTAGCTATAATAAGCATGAATATATTATGTCAAATTTTATATATTAAAAAAAATTATATTTATAATTTTGAAATTTATGAGGATAGCTTTAAATAGTAAAACAAATTTTTAATTTTTAATTTAAATAGATATGTATTAATTTAAATTTAAATCTCAATATATATATATATATATATCTACATACAAATATTCTAAATATTATGAATCTAAAATTTTGCCATATATCTAGACTTGAATTTCAATTGGTAAAAATAGAATTTTATATACATCTAAAAATTAATAATTCATTCTATACCTAATTTCAAACCTAAATAATATATTTTATATTTTTTAAAAATAATAAAATTTTTCTAACCTAACTCCAAACCTGACTTTAAAAAATAGAATTATATAAAAGGTATCTTAAAGCACAAAAATATGAAAAACTTAAATTAGACACGTGACAATCTCTCATAACTTTAAGCTCTATTTTTATATATATAATGATTGGGGTATTATAGTTATTTTATAAAAAAGAAAACTTTGATGTAACACTTGAAAAAGTTATTACATTTTCATTGATCTCATTTTTATTTGCATATTTTAAAGAAATTTTTTTGTCATTTTTGTAAAAAATTGGCTCAAAATCATGGGGTTGGTTTGTTTTAATTTTTAAAAATTGTTTGTTGTTTTTAAAAACAAAAAATAAAAAACTTATTTATTTTAAGTTTTTTCAGATTTAATTGTTTTCAACATTTTTTTATTTTTATTTAAAAAAACAAATGGAAACATCATAAATTTATTTTCATTTTATTTTTTTATCTTTAAAACATTTAATTATTAAAAAATATATTTAGATGGACAAGTTTAAATAAAAATGCTACCACTATTAATATCCTGTTTAATTTTCAAACTATTTTTGAATTAATATAATCAAATAAATTTTTATTTTACATTATTTTAAAAAAAAAACAAACATGTCCTACATTTTGGTTTTTGCTCTTACAAATTTTAAATTTAAATAAAAATATGGGGTGTAATTTATATATATATACATATAATATATATATCTATTTCCTCCGATACTGTTTATAAAAAAATTTAAAAAAATAATTTTTTATTTAAAGTATTGAATATTTTATAATACTTAAATCATATTTTTTTTAATTTTTTTAATTAATATGAAAGTATTTAATATAATTATATTATTATTTAAAATAAAAAATAAAAATAAAAGTAAATTTTATTTTTTTATAATATTAAGTAAAAAATTAATTTTTTAAAAATGTATGAAACAATTGAAAGAAGATATTTAAAGGAAAGTTATTTTTTTATTGTTAATTCAATATTGGAAGATTTTTCTTAACCCTAGTAGGGTTCCTGTTACGTTTCGGCCTTTCAGAGTAGGCGAATAGCGCCAAGCCTAAAATGCTCCACGTCTCCTTGGGTCGTTAGAGGTGGCTTTTTGTTAACCCGTCGACTCCCATATCTTGGCGTGCCTTTCTCTGATCGCCAGTGCCATCCCTGACTTCTTCCCAGATTCAACATTTTATTTCTACGTTCTTATTCTGCCGGCTCTCTTCTCGCCGTCGCCGCCCGGATCGACTCTGATTAGCATGTTCTCCTTCCTCCCAGGTTCTCATCTCTTTCTTCTTTCGTTATTTTCCTTTTTGTTTATTTGAATTTCAGCTTCGTTTCCGGCTGCGGGCTTTGGCTTCTTCTCTATTTTCGCAGTACCCGATGTGCCTAGCGAGTATTTTCTTTGATTACTTGAATATGTACCTTTATTTGACATGGGAAAACTTTTGTCGAGGGTCTTTGAGGGGAAACTAAGCTAAAAGTTGGAGGAAGACCCGAGATCTTTGAAGGGAGGTGCATTTTGTAGATACTGTGATTTTTTTTAATCGTTTTATTTCCAATGCTTTTCCGTTTTGTGGCCACTCGAAAAGAGTTACGGTACCCATTGGCAGCGTCTGATCAATTTGGCGACCGTCTTTTATGAAGTGAGCTGGGCTTGGTTTTCGCCTATTCTGAGCCCCGAAAAGTTTGATCTCCAGCTTGCTCCTGTTCCAATTCGTCTTTTGCCACCAATTAGTGTTAGCTTCCATCTCTTTCTCAATGTCGAGATGTAAAATTTCCTAGCTGGTTGCTGAAATGATGCTATAAGAGGTTCTATTTTTCCTCGTCCTGCTTTTAATCCTACCAATTCCCTGTATGCTAATGGCTAACTTTCACTGCTCAAAAAAGAATATGGGGCAAACGCTTGTTTACTTTCTAACTTATACCAAAACCTTCAAAAGAATGACTGCTTTGGTAATGAAATCATATCATACTCTAAGGGGGCCATAACTGCATGTGTTTGTGGTTAATTGCCTCTGGACTCGTAACTTAAAGGGGTGCTGCGCATAGATGTTGGACCTTGACTAGTCGTTGTTGTCTAAAGCTGTTAATTTCATCTATCTCTTCTGTGTTACTCTCAGCAAAGTTTGATTATTTAAGGTGTCTATACCAAGCACATTGTCCGTATTGTGCTCATTTGGGTTTTTATGACTACTTGAATCATGGCGGCCCCCCAATGACTAGTTACCAAAAAAAAAAAAATTGCTTAAGAAATACAACTTTACCATAACTAAAATATCAATCCCAGGGGAAGTATAATAATATATATTTAGTGCAATATTACGTGTGTGACTTGTTTAACTTAAGATATGTTACACTGCAAGGAGGTTAAAACTGGGAGAAAAACAAAGATATTAAACTTTCCTATAGTTAATAGTGAAAACTGATGGAGACTAAGAATCAGGAAAGACATAAAATGATGCATGGAGATTTTCGACAAGATTGTTTACAAGTAGCTGTTTTTTGTTGCATGAAATGAATTTCATGGTGATTTTCTTTTCTTTTAAGTCAATAACCCTTATCATAAGAGGTAAAATTATAACTGTCACATTTTTTTTATAACTCTCACATTATGCATGCTCGTAATTCAGCTAATTGATGATAAGTGCTATAAATGGAAAATTTAGAATGGATGGATTTTGCCGAAAGTTAGGGAAAATAATGAATTGATGAGATGTTTCATGTTGCCATGAACAGATTCTAACATAGTTGTAGGCAACATTATTTTGGCTTTGCAGATATTTGATGCTTGGATATATAAGGGCTGTTCGTCAATCTATTCTTAGGAACTGTAGGAGCAGGCATACTGAAGGAAGTAGATATGGGGCAATAGCTTCAGTTGGACCAAATATCCACCAATGTAGGGTGTACGTGCAATATAAGCTTCCTAGTGGAGCTCGCAGTTCATTCTTGCATGGGACAAAAGAGAACTTTTACCCGCACTTTTTCTCAAGGAACTTCACTGCAGTCTCAGCAAGTAATATAGTGACGAAACATTCCCAAAATGCTTGGAGAAGGCTACATGGAATGTATTCTTCCAATGGTTATCGCACATTTCCCTCTATAGATGTCATTGCCCAAGCAGTCAGCTTGGCTTTGGTCCGTTCTTATTTGGTAGTTCCTGGCATTTTTGCTTTTGTATGTGGAGAGCTAGCATGGACTCATCGACAATGTGCAGATGCAGAATGTTACCCATCACAGAATGTTTTGTACACGAATGCACAAGATGGGTACACTTACTTCTCATCATTTGTATTTATGGCAATAGATGGCCTTGTCTTGTTAGCCAGAGCTGTCTACTTAGCTATACTATTCTCTCCATGCATAATAATGGCACCAATTGCAGATTATTGTGGACCAAAGTTCAGGAAAGCATGGCTGCAGGTTGTTCACGGTACACTGGAAAAAGCAGGTCCAGCCTTCATAAAATGGGGTCAGTGGGCAGCTACTCGACCTGATCTTTTTCCTCAAGATCTTTGCACAAAGCTTTCAGAACTTCATTCCAAAGCTCCTGAACATAGTTTTAGCTACACAAAGAAAACTATAGAAAGATCATTTGGTCGAAAAATTTCTGAAATTTTTGAAAATTTTGAAGAAACACCAGTTGCATCTGGAAGTATTGCCCAAGTTCATCGGGCTTCTCTAAAATACCCTGGTCAGCTAGCGAAGTCTCTTATGGTTGCCGTGAAGGTCAGACATCCTGGTGTGGGAGAATCAATCAGGAGGGATTTTTTGATTATTAATGCGGTGGCTAAAATTTCAAACCTTTTTCCAACACTTAAATGGTTAAGACTGGATGAAAGTGTGCGGCAGTTTGCAGTTTTCATGTTGTCTCAAGTTGACCTTGCAAGGGAAGCTGCCCATTTAAGCCGCTTTATTTACAATTTCCGTCAATGGAAGGATGTTTCTTTCCCTAGGCCTGTCTACCCCCTTGTGCATCCTGCTGTTTTGGTAGAAACCTATGAACATGGAGAAAGTGTCTCGCACTATGTTGATGACCTTCAAGGACATGAGCGCATTAAAACTGCTCTTGCTCACATAGGGACTCATGCACTTTTGAAGATGCTTCTGGTAACATACGTACCATATGCAATTTTTTCAATGCTGTTAATTTTTTCAGTATTTAGCAAATGCAACCCCCCTGGGGGGTGCTAAATATAATATATAATAAATAGAAAATGTTTATTGCTGATACAATCTAAAATAAAGTCACTAGAGTTAGCAACTGTTATTTTAAATTTGATGAGATACTGTGGTTGCCACCCTAGCTCAGCTTTTCTCCTAAGCAGGTATTGAGGCAGTTTCTACTTGCCTGTTTCCTTGAGGAATTTTTTTCCCTTAAAAGTTGTACACCTCTCCCTCCCCCCCACCCTTTTATTTTTACTTGAAATATTGCATAATGTAGTGCTATGACACGTGATTTGTTTTCTAGATGTGAATACTTAATACTAAAATGATCTTGCTTTGTTTAGCATATTTATCTTGATAAATTATTTTTCTTTCTTGCAAAATTAGTCTGATATCTCCTGCTACATTTCTTTGACTCAACATTTATACCTCACAGTTTATGACCGCAGTTGATCCTTCTAATTATAGGCATACATCCTACTCAATAGTATGAGCTAAAAGTATATGGCCTATGTTAGATTTTTTCTTAAATGTTATAAATATCTAGTTTCCAACACGTCGTGTCTTCTTTCAGGTGGACAATTTTATTCATGCTGACATGCATCCTGGAAATATCCTTGTACGCATGTCTCGCAAAACACCTCACAGACGGCTCTTCAAATCGAAGCCTCATGTGGTTTTCCTTGATGTAGGCATGACTGCCGAACTCTCTGGAAGTGATAGGCTAAATTTACTGGAATTTTTCAAAGCTGTTGCCTGCAGAGATGGCAGGACTGCTGCAGAGTGCACACTAAGGTTATCAAAGCAACAGAACTGCCCAAATCCAAAGGCTTTTATTGAGGTAATTGTTCAACTGGTAACTTTTTGTAGAATTTGCTGATCAATCAGTGTCGTGATTATGTCATTTCTTCTTTATTTAGTGGAAACACAGTACGTATAGGTATAAAATACACATTTTTATCAATTGCCGGCAAATGTAAATCTAGATCTCCCCTTCCCTTGGGTTCGGTTGTTCATCAGTCAATCAATCAATAGGTTTTAATAAAAGAATATAGATTCTGACATTTTTGAACTGGTATTGCAGTTCATCAGTTTGTTACTCTATCGGCACCGTTGAAATTTTGGAACATCCATTGAAATAGACATTTTCTCGATTTGCAATTGGCACAAGCAGAAATGTCTTGCAGTCTTATTCCTGTAAACTAAGGCTAATGAGATACACTTCCACTTCAATACTTTCATGCTACGGTTTCTGAAGTAGTCGTCTATTTTGTTTTGTTTTATGAGAAACCTGCACGCACATGATTCCAATCCATGCCACTTCATGCCTTAAGTCCACCGTTTGTTTTTGCGACAGGAAGTAGATGAAGCGTTTGCTTTTTGGGGTACCGCAGAAGGTGATCTGGTACATCCTGCCGAGTGCATAGAGCAGTTACTTGAGAAAGTTAGGCGGCATAGAGTTAATATTGATGGCAATGTCTGTACTGTGATGGTCACAACCTTAGTTCTCGAGGTAACTGATCCGTAGTGAGTTTACTAGGGTGACATGTTTCTTTGTTGTGAGTGTTTGCGTTGTGCAACCCCCTGTTGAATTAAGCCCGTGTATGGTATACCGTACACTGATGTCATTAAGCTGATTTTGGTTTCTTAATTTTGTAGGGATGGCAGAGAAAGCTTGATCCCGGGTACAATGTGATGGAGACACTACAGACATTGGTACTTAGATCTGATTGGGCAAAATCTCTCTCTTACACAATTGACGGGCTGATGGCCCCTTGAGAAGGTTCTTTTTTTTTTTTTTTGTTTTAGGCTCAGCATAAACAAATTTTGATAATACAACTCAAAACATCACAAGTCCTAAGAATATGCGGTCTTGGGCCAAAGAAAAATGGCCATCTGAATTACTTTCTTGTTTGGAAGCTCTATTCTACTCCCTGTAGTCATCTAGTTACAATTTTGACGTTCCAAGGTTTGTAACTGCGTACCTGAGTGTCACAGCTACAGCATACGAGAAGTGAAAGTATAAAGTGAATAAAAGCGGTGAATTTTTTTTTTTTTGGGTTTCCCATTAGGCTTGGTTGTACATGGTTCAAGAAAGCAAGACATTAATTTTTGAGTTGAGTGCTGATTTATATAATGCCACAATTGGCTGCAGTTATATTTGTAGTTTGAAACGTGTAGTGTGGGCGTGAAAACAGATGGTGTTTGTTTGCATTCTTGCCCTTTTGTGCCTAAATCATGCTCATTCTCTCTCTATGCGTTATTTGTTATTTTTTTCCGGACCCCATGTAACTAATTCACGTTTTACAAAAAATATTAGTTGAAATTTTATTTTATTTTTAAATGTTCACATTCTTACATTCATGTCTTAGTTTTCCTAGCATATATGTTTTTAAATATAGAACATTTAATATGAGAAATAAAAAGCATGGGTATAGATGGTAAAAAATTAAAAAATTCATTCAATATTCTATGTTTTGGATCAAGGGATGCTTTGAGAAAATGATTTAGGATTAAAATGTGTTTTTTTCCTTGTACTTTTTCTAGAAGAGCATTGTATATTCTATAGTAATAAGTAGGGTTTGTTTTATTTAAAATTATTTTTTAAAAGAGCAAAAATCTCTTTTAACGAATCACTGACGCAACTAACTAATTTGTACCAATCTTCGCTAGATTTGATAAACCTCATATAGAGATGCTACTCACCATCCTTTTTGTGAAGAGATTTTGGAAACACAAGCGCTCGTGTGCTCATCAGGACTTACAAACTCATCTTTGCTTCCCGTGAGGCAAACCTTTGTGCATACTACCTGGCCCAAACGGCGCATGGCTGCCCATGTTATCTAAGGAGTCAGTGTACTCCATGCAGCACCTGAAGGCTGTTTTCTTTTGTATGACACAAGTGGGGGGATGTTCCAATCGAGCTGATTGTTTTCTTTGTTCTTATCCCCTAGCCTGTAGCTAGCCACTTATTATCAATTCAATATATATATATATATATATATATGCAACAAATCCTTCATAGAAGTTTCAATGAATCCTTCGTTGAAGATATCGAAAATATTATCTTTTGACGATTGTACCTATTTGCAATAGAGCTTCGCATCACCTTACATAGATAGTTAATGGTTGATGCTTCATATGACTTCGGTATGCTCATGCTATTGATTTTTTTGTTTCGTTTCGTTTTTGTTTTTGTTTTTTGGGGTGGGGGGTGTTTCTCGTAGGGTAAACCATGCGTAGCTTGCCATTTGTTCTGATTATTTATCAAATTTCTCTTCAAGTATACAGCGAAGATATTTCCGAAACCATAAAATTCTAATTGGAGAGGCATATACACTAAAATTTTTAATCAACAAATTCACAAATGTGTTTTTAAGAATAAAATCTATACATTTCCAACCAGCGAGTAAAGACTGGAGATGCATGAGCACATATCAGTTGATGCAATCACATTTTGGAGGTGAGTTCACGTATCTCTTTTATTGCTGAATCGATGCTGTAAAGAGCCATTTTCTTCAGCTGTTCTCACGACCCGTCACAGAAAAAAATAACAAGTTGTAAATTTAATGTGAAGAAATAACAAAAGACGCTAAGAAGAAATAGAGAAAGTGAACAATATGATAAAGAAAAGCACCTCAAGATGGTCAACTTTTGCTTTGTGGTCTTCTGGAAGCTGACGGGCTTCATCAATCAATTGGATACACTGGCCGACACTCTCAGGAGAAACAAATTCCAATACCACATGAACACAACACTGCACAGCAACAGAAAATAATAGTCACACATCCACACAACTCTGGATGTAATCAATGTTGTCTGTAACAAACAAAATCAAACGTCATATACGGAAACATAGTTTAATCTTTGTACTTCTACTTTTAACATTCTGAGCACAATGCAAATGTTGATAGCCACATGCAATCTTTCGTCCTTGGAATTTATTGGCAAAAAAATTAAACTTGTGGGATCATACATGTGAAGATGATTTTCAGGAAGAGCTTATATTCATTCAGTACTGAATAACTTAAATCAATTAGACTTCTTCTAATTAAACGAACTAGAAGATGGAGAAGGAAAACCGTTATATAATGTGAAAGAGACCTTAGAATTCCTAATCTGGTATGGACATCCAGCAGGAATTATGACAGCTTCACCGACACGTTGCTCAAAAGTCCACGGTTCAATTTCTGGAAACATTACCATCACTTCAGTTTATACCTTGGACAAGCTATAAAATATATAGAATTACGGAAAATCGAAAGCATGCTTACTATATTCCTCCTTGAGCCTCATCTTGTGAGTATTGTCAAGAAAGAAGCTCTGATCTAAAAGTGGATGATCCACCTGCAGAAATTTTACAACATCAAATTCCACCAAGGCCCGGAAAATTCTTCTATGATACTGTCTTCTGGTAAAATTACCTGCTGCTCATGATAGTCATGGGAAGGAGAAAATTCAGCAGAGTGTCTTTTAAGGTATTCTAAGAGCTTTGGAACATCTTGTCTGCGAAAGACATCCCACTGGGCACCAGAATGTTTAATAAGCTTTTCATTCCTATAATTATTTGAACTTCCATAGGGATTTTCAGAATCGGTATCAGAATCACATTCTTCATCCTGGAAAGTTTTGCTGTCTATACTCTGATAAACTACATTTGTTGCTTCAGAATAGATGTAAGCGGTTCTGTTGACTCTCCTGAGAAAGTGCTTCTCCTCTCTCCCCTTTTGATGCAACCCTGTCTTTTCAACATCTTCATCAGGCCACAATGAATTTACTTTCTCTCCCTGTTCCTTTGATCGTTCAGCACTAATTTCAGAAGAATCCCTTCGACAGAGAGTTCGGTGTTTTTCAGCAGCTTCCTTATTTTAGTCAACTGTTCTGTAGAAAGAGGGATATCCGTTGTGTGCGCCATAATACTAACCTGGAATAAAAAAACCAAATACAGTAAATGGCAAAGATAAAATATTTTCTCCTCAAAATATCTTTCGGTAAGCGCCACCTGCTGTATCCATAATGCACTAAACGGTTGCCGGAAAAAATAAAATCTGCAAAACACAATGTGATCAAGTACTTAGCTAAGTTGGGCGGTATCATCAAGATATTGACATAGTTGATCAATGGTGTTTAGGATAAATTTGAACATCAAGGATACCATTACATGGGCAATTAGTAGCCTGTCAGTTTGTTTATTAGTGAACGGAGTCAATTAGTCAGTAAACAAGTCAGGCAGTTAAGAGTAGTACCTGACCAGTGTTTTTCACATTATTAGTAATATTACTCCTGGTTATGAGAGTAAAGTAGGACTTGTTTTCATTTTGTCAATGATCTTTATTTCACTCTGTTGTTAACCTCCTCTCTAATTCTTCTTTTTTGATGCAATTTGCACAATTTGGTTTCAAAGCATCGATCTAGGCCCCATGATGGTGCCTGAAACCCAAGCTCAAGATCGAATGTCTGAATTTCATCAATCTACGAACAGAGGAAGCTGGGTATGACAGAACTGAGAAATCAATTGATCTCATTGAAGGTCTTAAGGTTGAAATGGCAACAAAAGTCACTCTGATAGCTGCAAACAACAGTGGCAATGGCTACAGTGGATCGCCAAAACACCAGATGTCTGCTTGTTGTTCACAACTCAGATCATTTGCTGATCATTGGAATGATGGTGTGTGTTTGAAGAAGATAACTGGAGCTTTTAGCTCCCAACTATTTTCTAAGAGACCTTCCTACAGATATCCAAACAGTTGTAAGACTGTTCAATCCTAGCAACCCCGCTAACACTGTACCTTTTTGACTACATGAAAGGTCTATACAAGCTTTACATGCTCATGCTGCAGCTTCCACCAAAAGAAACCACTCAAATTTTCCCATGAATTTACAAGTTTCAAGTCATAGAACCATGTACACCAGCCAAGATAGACCAACCAGACCTTTACTTTTTTCACCCAAAATTCCACTCAAGTCAACAAATCCAGTACTAGTGCAAGCTCCAGTGCTAGTAATGAGCAGATCAAACAGCTCAAGAAGAAAGAAATGGATGAAAGGATGGATTGCCTCAATCTTATGACTTGTAGTTTGACTACTGCTATTGTGCGGTTGATAGGTTAAGTAAGCCAGCTCATGTTATGGCTCTTCAACACCATAGTTCAGTACTAGATGTGGCCCAGATTTTCTTGTATGATGAGGTGAAGTTTCATGTGTTCTCTAGATCTATTGTGATGGATAGGGACCCAATCTTTTATGGGAAATTTAGGTAGGATTGCTTGGCCTGTACAATGTTCAACTTGTGCCACTCTTCAACCTACCATCCTGAAACAGAGGGTCAAACAGATGTGACAAAAAAAAGTTTGGAAGTACCATCTTCGTTGTATAACTAGGGACCATCCAAAAGAGCAGTTGAAGTGGTTCTTATTGGCAGGTGACCATTTTCCGCCAGCTATCAGAATGACTCCTTTAAAGCAGTTTTTAGCACATCCAAACCAATACATTTGCCTCATCTAACAAGTAATTCATCTAATGATGTGGTGAATCAAAATTGTTAAGGGGGGCCCAACATTCGGTGGCAACGCCTTAATAAGACTTGGAACAGGATGATTCAAATGACACATAAGAAACAAATGGGTAATTTGCAGAAGACATGGTTTACTTAAAAATTACATCCTTCTTGAAGGAATTTGCTCAATAATTCCTCTTTACACAAATTGGCTGCAAGGATTTTTGGGCCTTATAAAGTGGTTAAGAGTGTGGAAACACATTGCAATATCAGTAGTCATTATCTGAGAATTGTAGGGTACACCGAGAGTATCATGTTTCTCTACTAAATTAACATGCGGAAGACAACCTTCCAGTGAGTTCTGCTCTGCTTCAAGTTAATATTTACAGGCAATTCCTCATGGAACTAGGGAAGATTTGACCAGAGAGGTATCCCAACAATAGAATTAACCTACGACTCAGGCATCTATCCAATGAAAGCACATCAATGTTAAAGATGTTTATCAAAAGATCTCCCGGCTATCAAGCACCAGTTTCCAGATTTTTCAACCACAACCTATCACTAATCCTTGAGGTCAAGGATTGTTTTAGGAGGGGTGAGATAATTGTTACAGGAGCAACAAGTAACTGGCCAGTTAGTTTCTGTATTCAATCAATGGAGACAGCTAATAAGCGATAAGTCAGGTAGTTATAAGAGTAACGAACTGACAGGTGTATGTAAGTCAAACTACTACAGTAGTAGAGTAGAACATGTAATCATTTTGTCAATGAATTGAATCTCTTCCTTTCTTTCTATAGCTACACTTCTCTCTGTATTCTTCTTTGCTGTGGCTCATACTGGATGCTAAACCAAAAGCGATAGAATATTACGGGCAACTACAATCATCATGATACATGTCTTGTACAAAAAAATTGGAAGTTTCTTGTTAGTTCTAGATTTCCTCATCAGCTGCTGCAGGCATCTTTAATGAACAGAGTCTTCATGAGTCAAAGCTAAGAAATGATCATGCACATGCTTATTATTTTAGACGATATCTCATCCAAGTTATCATTGATCAGATTACAAGCAGTAATATACATCTGACAGTTCTGCTTTTGTTTAAAGGCACAGATAATTTTGGCCATTTACTTTACCATGAATCCATGATAGAGTTTCAGTTCTTAAAACATAAAATTGGCTGAAAGCCTATCTAAGTATTACTTTGTAAATATGTAAGATGAAATTAAAGGCAACATAATGAGAGGTAGCATACCACATCATATGAATCATAAGACAGCTTCGTCACAAAGTCACTCTGTTCATCACCACAGCCATATGAAAGATAGATATATGGCCCTACGTCATGCTTTGCACCACCCTGTGCCAGACTTACAGCTAAATTCAGAAAACCAGAGGTAGGATTCATGTATTCTTGAAGTGGCAGGGCATCAATTACTCCAGCAAAGTGAGCTGGAAACCATTCTTTGAATAGTTTGGAAGACAGTAACCACTTCAATTTCAGTATCTCGTGCCACATGTTTTTCTGTGGCTGACATTTAAGAGATCCAGTAAAGCACTGCCTAATGTTAATTTCCACCTGTAATAGAGAGAGAGAAAAAAATGAAGAGGAAATATACTTTTAGAAACAGTACTTGGTCAGCTCCATTCTTTCCAAGAAAGAAAGTGGAGTTGATGTGAGGCCATCCGGTGTCTGATGTGTCATCCAAAAGGGCTTCCAAGGTGGCATCTATGATGACATCAAGAGTGGGAGAGTCTAAAAGTTTAAGAGAATATTTTGGCTATTAGAATCCATCTAGTTTAATTCAATCTAGGTTTTTCTAATTTTAATGAATTAATTAATATAGTTTTGAATTTCATTCAAACTTGTGAGGCTATTTTGATTATTGTTGTTCTCTGTGAGATAACACACCGCGGAATTTCAGATTAAACTAAATGGACTCTAATAGCCTAAATATTTTCTCAAGCTTCTTAACTCTCCCACTCTTGATGCCATCATGGATGCTACCTTGGAAGCCTTGTCGGATGCCACATTGGATGCCACCTATGCACACATCAGGAGTTAAGTCAGGTTTAAACATAGGGTATATGTATGTTTGTTTTTGTCCATGTTAATTACTACAATAATAATTATGAAGATTCAACCTAGCAGAAAATACAAGAAAGCACAAGCTTTTATATGGCATATTTAGTTAATTGATAACCTGACCTCACACCAATCCAAACAAGCTTCAAGTTCATCCTTGTCATTCTCATATCTTGTGATGCTGCCCTCAAGATAAGTACAGAACATGAACAGTGGATCCCAGCTGAGGTTTGATGTGCTTTGGAGCACATCTCGCACTACTACAGGATGGCCTTTTCCCCAATGCTTCTGAAAATGTTCAAAGTTATCACCACCAATGTCCAAGACAGTGGGATAAAACAACCAATTGTCTTTTGAATCTTCTCTAAGAGCTGCTTCTCGTAACTGCTTGGATTCATCAAGTTTATGATCTGTGTCTGGACACAATGAGCAGCTCAAACTTTTGTCCAAAGTTTCAGGAAAGTCATAGCTGCAAACTATTTCTTCTGCTGTTACTTCCATATCCTCGATCCATCTTAAGGGGAAAACGCATCTTAATTCAAGAAGACTATCACCACAACCACCAAGCTCTTTTGGAGGACAAGATACATTGCCAGGACAATCATAGTTTGTGCAGTTACGCAATGAAAAAGAAGCTACTGAATATCCGTTGGAGATGGTCTTCTTATCCAAAAGATGATTTTCACTGGCAAGTCGACAATCCATCCCATCAGATGACTCGGAAATAGATGCATTAATTTCTTCAGAGGAGTTCTTTTGACATAATTTCCTGCCACAACTTATGCAAAGGCTATAGGAACAACTTGGACAGCTTCTATGGAGATCCAAAATGGGTGTTTTGCAGTGATTGCTGAAACAAATGTTAGATTAGTTACAAAGCAGAACCAGAAAATAGCGCAGACTCTACCACAAGCATCAACGAAAGAGGCTTACCAGTAAGTTTGTTCATTGCTGCCAAATTCAATTTGCTTGATGTGCATATCAGACGGTCTTTCACCTGTTACACATGAAGGCATCTAAGATACCAATTCTGTAGTCAACAAAAAGTTGATTCAGGAATCAACAATGTAGAAGCAATGATGACTACTATTTACTACCTCTCATTTTAGCTTCTGTTTCTATCTCAGCATTGTGGTCTTCATTTATTTCTTTCAGTATAGGAAGGAGCGTACAAATCAAATAATGAAAATGCAATATTCTATCAACTTTGCTTTCACCAGCCAAAAATTCCTGAAAAGGCAAGGCATACATTGAAGGGTCAGCATATGATTTCATAGAAACACTGATCCATCCGTCTGAAAAAAGCATTTAGTTTTGATATCAAACCTTAGTTTCGTTATCTTTACATTTACTCCTCAAGCAGTCTTTACATGAGCAAGTTCCTCGACAAACTGGACATGCCATCTTAACTTCATTTTGAGTATCAAAATACCTAGATTGTTTCAAGATAGAGATGAAAAACATATCATACGCACATCCTTAATAAATAAAAGAGCAGATAGCAGAAATCATAACCACTATAGATTGTCCATGTGACATTATTATCCATCAAAAGTTGCCGAGAAAAGCGCAGGGAGGAGGGGAAAAAAAAAAAGAAAAGAAAAAAAGGTACCAAGACTTACAGAATGGAAAAGATTTATTGACTTATTTGTAAGGTTTTTTTATAAATTCCCTTCACATTGATAGTTGTTCTGCGCATATCATGACTAAACAAACTTATGCTCTAACTAAATTATTTAACAAACCGTTCTTTAATGCAATCCATGCAGAAAAACTCTTTTTGACAGCTTGAACATTTTATGAGATTCCAAGAATCGCTTCTCTGGCACCAATGGCACTTCTTCCTCTTACATTTTCGTCCATACGGTAAAACCTAGACATGACAAACAATTAGCTCACATAGGAAACATATAAATCACCAAAAGGCCTCAGACTTCAGTAAAAATACAGCTAATGAGCCATAACCCACAGAAGACGCACCTGCAACTTTCCCACTGGCAGCCTTTCAACATTCTTGGACCTGAAGTAACGTGGAGTAATTGCCTTATGATCAGCACATAATTTAACATCACATTGGGAAACTACATTGCAGTATTCTTGGGCCGTTGATGCCATAGAAATTGCCATCAAACCATTGGGCAATGTTTTTGTTAACTCTCCCTCACTGTAATGTAATCCCTCCTCTTCCTCCTCCTCCTGCTTCCTCTTCATATTCTGTCCCTGCTTCTTCTTCCTTTTCTCAACCTCTCTCTTCAGCACCATTCTTATCAGCTCCAACTGCTTATTACCCTGCTTGGACGCCTTCTTCCCCACAGGAGCTTCCATTGCCTCCGAACCATCTGACATTTTTATCCTTTTTTTCATCATCTTCGCCATCTTGACCACTTTCCGTGCCTTCACTTCGACATTGCTGAGAACAGAGTCATCCTTATTATGCCCTTTCTTACGCTTCCTCTGAAGCTTCAGCGACTCCGGGACCTTTTCCTTGTATTGCCGATGGCGGCCTTGAAGATAGTGAATCTCACAAAGCTTCACGTTGTCCATCACTCTCCGGTTACACCGCCATTTACGCCCGTCGGTGCGCTTGCAGCGCAGATGATCCGGCAAAACTTCCTCCTCACCCATTCCGATTTTCGCGGAAAAATTCAATCTTTCTGGTGAAATTGGGATTTTTTTCGAGAAAATTGCTCAAGAAAGTGGAAAAAACCCCGTATATTTAACAGAGCAGAGACAAAAAGAAAAGGGTTTTTCAGGCCCCAAAGTGCGTATCTATTGGGAATACGAAGAAACAGTGGGGATGAGAAGGGATATTCCAATAAATATTGGTAAAGAGAGTCTATTCAGTCCCGTAATGTACAACATAGGAACCAGCGAGATCATGATTTATGAGGGAAAATCAGGACTCTTCAAAATCCTTTGATCCGTCAGTGACCTGATAGAGTTAACAAGCACCTCTGTCAAAAGCAGGCTACGGGTTTCACTCCTTTGGGCTTGTTTGGACCAAACTCAGGAAGTATATTGAAAATTGCAGCACAGAATTTATTAATCCTTGTTGCGGGAGGGTTTTTTCTGGGACAAAATCATTTACCAATTGCTTTTCAAGCAGTTTCTTGTGCAGGAAACATATTTATATGCATTAACAATTCAGTGTCCCGAATTTAATAACGTTCAGACCTTGATAGAATGTACGTTGTTATTCAAAATCTTTAAAAGGCAAATCAGTTAGTGAACAATGTGGTCTGGTTGATTAATTGCTGCTGTTGTTTTTATACATTTGTTTTTAAAGTTTCAAAACTTCCTTGTTCTGCGCGTACACATCTGACTGTGTGGAAGCATCCAAGACAAGAATGAGACCCAACCGCATTTGTATTATTACATTCCATTAGTAAAATTTCATTTAAAAAAAAATTGTAATTTTGCAGAATCTACAAGCACTAGAGAAAACGAGGTGTGGTTCTGTAGTAAAGAGGTGTAAATAACTAACAAGGAGATTTAAATTCTGTTGAAAACAATAAAATTCACAAAGTCTGAGAGCTAGAAAGAGCTGCACTAACAGAAAAGATGTTGTTCATGATTTAAAAAAAAAAGTTAGGGTCTAATTTGGAGATTAGCTTCACAATTAAAGTCGTTTGGAGGATGATTACAATCAGGAGTGAGCTTCATTTTGGGCTGAAATCTTCAATTCTTTGTTTAGAGAAGCCCATTAGTTTTTACCTCCTCGCTGCCTGGTGTATTGTGTTGGGCTTGTAAATGTAAATACAGAAAGATCATCCATGATGTTTCTGTTTAAATACAGTATTCATGAAGAGGGAAAATGTCATCATGAAAATGGTAATCTGGTCTGACATATTTCTATCCGGTCCAAACGGGCATGTGTATAAATTTGTACCATGTACATTATATTGAACCAAGGATGATTCTTTCGTTTAAATTTCTAATATACAAACGAGTAATAATTTAACCATAGTTTCATTAAAAGAGGGCAACAGCTTCTTTCATGGAACTCCAAATTAGCATCAAGCTGGTCTTCTGATAGTTGCTCATAATTGTGGAAAGTAGCAAGTCTTGCAGCCTCAACCTTCTTTGAACATGCAATAAATTCAAATTAATATATGAACCCCTTTTTCTCATCTGTCTTTACCCTTTTACAGCTACTGCGTGCCTACCATAACCTCCTTCTATTATCAGCTGAGTTTTATTTCTTTTATGTAGCTTGTTATATTACTACACCTTTTACCAAAACCAAGCAGCCCAGTTCAAATTTCAGATGGCTAAGTTTCTAACATCATGACGTTTAATGAGAAAGAACCTACTAGCTGATGACTTTTCGGGCTCAAAACTATTGTTATGCTGCTTTGTCAAAAAAGTGAAATTGTAAATTTTTTTTTCGTGAATATTGGGTGTCTGAAATTTACCAACCCACCCCTATGTGATGGAAGAGAAAAGGAGAGAGAAATGTTTTTTCTCAAATGAAATTGATTCCTTGGTATCTGACCAAAATAAGCTATGACCTATTATGTTGTGACATTTACCTGATTCGTCATCCCTCAGGTTCAGCAATTAACCAAGAGAGAGGTGAGTTTCACAAAACTGAAATATAATTTGTTGTCAATATTCAATAATATGTAGCTGTGGAATGGTAATTTTCTTTTGTTTGGTAATTTCAGATATGTGTGTGTGTGTGTGTAAAGACGATTACACACACACACACACAGTTATTTACAATGATGAAACTCATAATCACATGTGAAAATATGTGTGTGTGTTCGCGCGCACAAACTCAGCCGATCGACACAAGTTAGAACAAAGTCTATTGGGATTCTAAATAAATATAAATCAAATTAATGTTCAAGGGGAGGAAAAACTTAGAAAAAATAAGGGAACTTATAACCTTGAGACATATGGCTGGTTTCCCATTGTCCTTAAAAAAACATGATTGAGTGCAGTGCTGATGACGACCTCTCCATTAATTAGCTCGAACTGGAAACACACCACATGAAGGAGTTCATCAACGCTGCACTCAATGATGTTTTTTCGACTTGGGTTGTTTTTGATACTTTCTATGAGATCCACAAAGCTCCCCTTATTTATGTGTAAGCTTCTGGATGATGCGTCTCTTATCTAAAGTTACTTGTAAAACAAGGTTGTAATGAACAATGTAGGACGCCAACCTCCTTTGATTTGTTGTACCACCATGCATTTTATTCACTTCTCTTTCTGTAGTTGTTAGCCTTGGCAGCTATATATATATATATATATAAACTTTTGTTCGGTTTGCACTATTATTGTACTGATCAAATGTACTGCTGGTTGAAATCTGATTGTTGTACTATATATATGTCTCTTAATTTGTTGTGAGTCCCGTGTGTTATATTTTTTTCCTCGTACAGCATTAGGGTTTAAATCTGTATGTAACAATTTTACTGTAGAAACACCTTTTTATTGGAGAAGTCATTTCATGCATGTATATATTCAATAATTCAATAGCCAACAGAGACTTTTAAGCTTCAACTTATATAAAGAGTCGTCCCTTTCTCTTTCCCTGTGTCGTCAGCCAATTATGATTCAATAGTTAATTATTATTTATAGTGGTTGCTTTGAGTTTTGCATAAACAGTCAAAAATGGAAACATCGATGTGAATTAATTATTAGTTATGCTGTTAATGTTGTAATAATAAGTAAGTGGAGTAATCAAGAAGTGATTAAGCCTATATAGCTTATAGCACAAGTCACTTCCATCAAACTCCTTAATTAAGCTAATTAAACACAGACAACAACTTGCTGTGTACAGGTCGATCGATTTCATGTTTCATACATAACATAACTTCTCAGTTATTGACTATGCAGAAACCGTTGACATGTGCTTCGCTGTACCAACGTTTTTTGGATAATATTGAGCATCTTAATCTCAATCATGCCAAAATCTTGTTTATTTTCTATAAATGATGATTGAGTCGAGTAGAAAGGATAAGTTTTTCTGGTTAAGGGTTTAAACTTTATACATGCATAATTTTATGTTAGATGACACAATTAAGTATTAAATACACAAATAATATGTTCAATATTTATTAATAATCACATCTTTATTAAATACGCATTGAATTCATTTTTAAGAAGTAAATTACATAGCAACTAATTAATATTTTAGGCAATTATTTAAAAATAGTATTATATATTTCTAAGCACTTATGAAAGATTATATGTCACTCTTCATATTTTATCATACACTAATTAGATACTTACCTTATATCTCAAGGACACTAGGAGGTGTTTGAATATTTAAAAAAAAAAAAAAGGAACATGCTTCAAGCTTAATTAGCTGGCCATTGTAATTTACGCATTTGAATAAACAAATATAAATATTATTTACAATTACAATATAATATACACATTACATGTACATGCTTATTTTGTTGATAAAGAATATACAAGAACCCTAGCTGGCTGGCTCGCTATTTATATATACACAGATGCAGCGGCAACAAAAATTAACCACAGTAAAAATGAATGAATTAACCTATCCTCTCCTACGAAGAACAATTTTACCTTGTGCATCTTCATGCACAATAGCCAAAACTTCATGAGGAGGCACATCTCTCCAGATTCTAGGCTCCTCCAAGAGATGTCCCATTTGAGCAAATTTATCAGCGGCCCTATTCCCTTCCCTATATATATGACTAAAGACCACGTCATTCAGCTCTGGAAGTATTGAATTTATCTCACATATATGTTTCTGCACTTCCATGCACCTCACTTTCCTTCTCTTCAATATTATCTCCACCAACGTCTTTGCATCTCCTTCAAGCCACAGCTTGTCATTCCACCCATTTTCAAGAACCAGCTCAAGCCCTCGCCGCAGCGCCGTGAGCTCGGCGATGGTGCTGTTCGCCCGGCCGATGGACTCCGCGTAGCCCAAAAGGAACTCTGCCTTGTGGTTCCTCACAACCCCTCCAATGCTGGCTCTTCCATTGATGCCTTTGCATGAGCCATCAAAGTTGAGCTTTGTCCAACCTATTCTTGGCTTCTTCCATTCCACTGGAATTGCTTCCTCATTGTTATGCAAATACCTAATCACATTGCAATATATCGGACTACGTGGCACCACCACTCTGTGTTGCCATCTAATCATGCTTATCACCTGTAACATTGTAATCTCTCAAACCTTTGATGGTGATGGTGATGATGATGATGGAAATGAATGTGGCTTGGGAATGGAGAGCCTTATGATTAAAGAGATTCCATTCTTATAATGAAAGGGATGCTGAGAATAATGAAGATGTTGGAGTGAGAAAGGAGGAAGATGAGATTCATAAGTTAAGATATATATGAAGAGAGATAAGAGAGGTTTCTTTTGAGGAGTTCTGGACGTAATAGAAAGAAGAAGAAGAAGCATATTGGCTCTTGAAACGTTTGGTGAAGAACATTACGTGCATGAACACTGCCATATAAAGACTGCACCGGAATTGAGAAGCTAGCTAAATCAGTCAACAAGGACAATATAATAATACTGCTCATTGAATTGTTTATTCCCGAATGAATTGTGATCAGTAAAAACTTTGTTATTCCAATTTGGGAATCTGAATCATGACTATATTTGCCAGCGCTGCCAACAACCATACACTAATTAACGTGGGTGTATCAAAAATTAATGAACAGACAGAATTCGATCGAGAATATTATCTTCTTGGTCAAACCAGCGAATTGGGCTTTTGAAATTATATATGTGATGTTACAATATAATATTGTTGGTGTATTGATTTTTGATCGAGCTAGGGTGCCTTCTGAAATTGGCACTGTTTTGAACTTGCTTGGTTTTTAATTATATTATCAATCTGTTGACAATTAATTAAAGGATAAGCCATGTGGTCTTCTGTTACGTGCTATTGCTATTGGCTGTTTTCTAATACATCCTTGCCCCAATTTATAAAATATTTTTATAAAAAATTCTACATCTCAAAATATAAGACATCTTAATAAAAATAATATTTTAATATTAATTTTTTCATATATATTTTTTTAACATTCTTTTACCAATGGAGTATTAAATATAAAAAAAATTAAAAGTTTATAAATTTGTTTTAAAAAATAAGATTATGAAATGTATTTAATGAACTTTATTAATACGTAAAATTTTATTTAAAAATATCTTACAAAGGATAAGATAGTATCAACTTCATGTGGCTTGGTCTGTCATGTCTTTTGTATATGTAATTTAGGATATTGAAGTAATAGATTTTTTTTGTTTATTGCCAAGTAATAGATCTTCTCAATTTCAATTTCCGTGAGATAGGAGACAATTAATCAACACGTGATCTTTTTTGGGGTTTATCCGAGCCAATTAGCTCACCTCAAAAGTCAAACATAGTATTTAAATTTTGAAAATTCGCGTTGATAAAAATGATTATCTATCTGAGAGCTATTACAAACTTTTTTTGGGTTGGGTTATTAGTTTTTATTTTGTAGTTTCACACATTTTATTTTGGGTTATATTTTCTGAACTTTTCTAAATTTAAACTATATGCTGGTCTTACATATGTAGATTTTGAAATAAATCACAATATTTATAGTTTATAAAGAATATATCATTTTATTTTATCAAAAAAACAGAATTATATCATTATATAGATTTTAATATGTATGATATTTTAGACATATTGGAATCACGTGGACCTTTTCGTTTTGGGCTCCATCGAAAGGAATTGGGCCTGACAGATATATCAGTTCCGTTTTTTTTCACATCACCTTTTTGGTTGGGCTTTTGACCATATTTGGGCCAAAGACATTAAATGTTTGGGGTTCCTCAAAACAAATTTGTTGGATAAGCTTGCAGCCGAAATAAATTGTTCGACAAGCACTTTTTTTTTATTTGTTAAGATACAAGTTCAATGGGCCAAGATTATTTTTCAAAAATCTTTTTCATGCAAAATACTTGGGGTTCCTTTGTTTTTCTTCTTCTTCTCGTCGTTTGTGGTTAGGTGCTATTTCAATTGTTTTTCCTCCTACCAAAAATTTTGAAGTTCTATGGTGTGGTCCTGTATTAAGAAATAAAACAAATTGTTCATAAAAAATAATCAATCAAGCGTGATACTGCAAGACGTGTCAGAGATATAAGGTCTCAAAAGAATGGAAGAACTTGACTTTTAATCAAATGTGAAGAACCCGGTCTCCCTTATCACAGTTTACTTAGATGTGAAAATGCGAAGTAAAGAACACTAATATAGATGCAAAAAAGTGGAGATACATTAATTAAAGAAAAAGAGTGGCAGGTTATTCCGACCATATAATGAAAAATAAAAGAATCAAGCTACATGATAAAAAGAAAAATAAAGTAACAAATGCAGAGTCTAAGACTAATAGTTTGTTGATGCTGATGATGACTATTGAGAGAGAGCTCAGATTTATAGATAATCCTGACTTGATGTTCAAGCTCCATGACCACCACTTTCTTTAAATTTAGAAAACACTTCATCTATCATGTTTACTCATCGTAGGTGATGGTCTTGACTTCATGGCTAAAACTTCATAAATATTTTTTTCATATAATTATTTTAAAGTCAATTAAATTAAATTGGGTTAGAGCCTCCAAATTCACAATTCAAGTGCAAGCATAAATATTGAATATTTTACCCAAAACAATGTTGAATAATTTCTATGCATACTCATTAATAGTTGCAATTTTAATGATCATCATGAAACCCTACTTTTTTTTTCTTGTAGAAAAAAAAGTTTAGATGGGTTAGGTCACATGGACTCACAATTCACTATGGCCACAACATACTTTCATATTCAAAGAGCACTTACAAAAATATTTATGAATTATCTACCAACAATATCTTCTCATTGGCAGCAAAATTTGATCACATAATTTTATAGATTATAAGTCAAATACTTACTCACTATTCCAACTTTTGTTGGTCATACAACGCTGACTTTTAAGTATCACTTTTTGGTGTCACAAAAAATGTGTCACTAAAAATTTTGTATTTTTGATGGGCCTGTTTATAAACCAAGCCTATCGAAACTTTCCTCGGCCCAAATGTATGAAACAAGACAATTCATTTATAATGTGTTTGATGGGTTGGAATGAATATGCTTTTTTTGAAAAAAAAAAAGAAGAAAGAATGGAAATGAGATAACATCATTTAAAATCTAGTTTGGTATGTGGCGAATAAGATACATTACAATATTCAGTAAAGTAAAAATAAGAAATGAATGGAAAAGATATAATTACATTTGACCAAGTTGTTCTTAAAATTAAAATATGAAGTAAATCTTTCTTTTAATATGCTAGGGTATTTTTGACTTTACACTACATTGTATAATTTCATAGGGTAGATTGCTATCATTCATTGCATGCTCGTGGACTTAATGGAAACGAAAGAGAGTTGCAATGAAATTCATATCAAGCAAACATAACAATTTGACTTGGCACACTATTTTTCCCTTTCCTTTAATATTTTTTTTATGATAAAAAGTTTAGGTCCAGGCATATTTATAAACTTAAAGAAAACTTACAAATCATCCACTAATAAAGTCTCATATCAGTAATAAAATTTGAACCCATGATTTTGTGAATTATAAATTAAATCTTTACTAAATAAACCAATTATTATTAGCTCCTTTAACCACTTTTAGCTCAAAGCAAACATGTCATTGGACAAAACAATTGTACACTGTAATAAACGGTATTATCATTATCATTTAATTAAAAAAAAGTATTGTTATTGTTAACACTCACGTTCAGAAAAGAATTGATAATATACGTTGCAAGCTGCTTTCAATGATGTAATCAAATGTGTTTGTTAGTGTAATTGTGATTATTAGCGAAAAAGAAATTGATTTAAAGGCACCGCCCAGACGAGACAGGCCCCACAAACGTCCCTTTAATCGCATCCAACTTGCTAAAAATATAACTTACGTACCCTTTTTTATTTAATTGTCAATAAATATGTTATATTGCCACGTCGATGGCCTCAAGTGGACAGTCATTTTATAATTATTTATGTGACATATAACTATTCCCGGAATCAGTATTTTCTTAGCCCCATCGACAAAAGCATTTTTTTTCTATTTATTTAGCATATTATATAACCTGCAGGCAAATATGAGCCCCAAATTAAAATAATCTTTTGACCAAGCCTTCCAGTTGAAAATATCATAAAATATATTCCCTGTTCCTATATTTTTTATATATTTGTAAAATTAGTGACGCAGTCCTAACCCTCACTAAATTTATAAATGTCGAACAAAAATTTTTTATAACTAAATTCAATTTTTTCAGTAGTTTCTGACCTCACGTTTTCCGTACAGAAACTCTCCATTTTTTATCTTTTCTCCAGCATTTTTCTAGTTATAATTATTAATATCACTGTATGAAGTGAATATGTTTCAGGAATAGATTATTTAATAAATGATTGTGATTAGATAAATGAAGGGAAAATGATAATGAAAAAAAATTGGAGAGAATCCGTGTCCCATATGTTTCATTAAAGCTAAATTTTATATTGAATATACAGCAGCCGCATTTTCAATTTATTTATTAAATGCAAAAAAAAAAATCATGTTAAATCGACATGAGCATTGAGAAGTCTCATCCTTCAAATAAATGACTAGTTTAATTATTAGTCTTTTTGGATAGAATAAACGTAATTGAAAAAGTCTAGTAGTTTCCCCTTTATCGCCTTTGTTGCAGATTCCTAATCTTATCCCAAAAAAGGAAAAATAATTATAATTTTTTGTGAAGGAGAATAATGATGATTATAGTCTGTTAATTACTCTTTCTTCCTTTATACAATAATGTTTTTAGAGTCAGAATATTGAATCAAAAGGGCCAAAAGTTCATAATTCATATGGTCTAATTGGGTTGAAAAAATTATCAAATTAGTAACATAATAATTGAATAAAAATAATATTATATATATAACATGTAATTAAGAAAATCTATAAGTTGTTAATAAAATGATATAACATGACTGTTAATTAATAATATTATAAATTATAATTTTATAACTTATTAAATATAAGTGAATTTTGATTCAATTAGATATGAGTAGGCTCAAAAGTATATATATTTATATCTATAATTGTCAATATTTTTATAAAAAAAAGATCTCAAATTATATTTTATATATGTGAATGGTCAAAAAATAAAATTGACTTTTAGTAAGATTTAATTTTTAAATTTTTTTAGTTTTTTTAAAAAATTAAGTTTTTTGATATCATGTTTAAAACCTCCAGTTTTTTAAAAATCGCTCATATTCTTGATTCAATAGAAATTCAACTCCGATCCAATTTGACTGAATCATAAAAAATATTTTTTTTATTCAAATTGAGTCATTAACGACTTTGATCGACAATCAAACCGTTCAGGTTGATTCAGTTATCAAATCATTGCTATGTAATCCCCTTTCTCAATTCCCCAAAATTTTTTTATCCCTGTTCACAATTTTTCCCTAAATGATCTTGAAAAAAAAAAAAAACTAGAATTCAGGTCCTGAGGATTGAAAAAGATACAACAAACACGAGAGTGGGTCATTCAATTAAGAAAATGGTCTTCAATACCTAAAATAATTAAGATAACGATCCCTTATTATAATATGAATCTATTTATTGTTAAATATAAAAAAGGATTATTACGATTTAAAAGATGGAGTAAATTTAAAGAGAGATAAAATGTCATTTTCGGATCAAATGAAACGAAAGCAATGGTCACGCTGGGAAGTACCGGGTGGTAGCCATCCAGCGAGTCTTAATAAGAGCCCCTAAACGCCGTTGATCCTTTTCTTGGTTCTGTGTCATGTTTCTTCAATCCATTTCCATGAACCTCACAAATCAATTCTTACATATCTATAATCAATTTTTTTTATAAAAAATATATTTCATATTAATAAAGCCCAATTGATGACTTCTTTAATTCCAAATCTCATCTACCCTAATGTACACCACATATCGATACTCATCGTCTTCTTAGACTTTCTTTTATTTAATATTAGCCTGACATTTTCGTAGACTTGAAAGCCCAGCACGTATTCAACATTTTTATCTAACTACCACTCACTCAATCATATTTATAACGTATTGAGAAATATTATTAATTTTTTATTATAAATTATTTTTTTTGCCCTTAATTTAATGTTGGAGAGAGAACATATATCGTTAAAATTTATATATTTAACAGGAGTAAAATTAAAAAAATTTTAAATTTTTTAGTATTAATAATTCGGGGTCAAGCCCGACGGGCTAGCTTAAATCAGCTCAAAAAAATTAAGATTGAGTTTAACTATATAGACTTTTTAAAGAGGATAAGATACTTTAAGTTTGATTTGAACAACCCAAATCCATCCAAATTACCGGCTCCAAAATTTTTAAACAGAATTAATAAATTTTAAATTTTGTTTAATTTTAATAAAATATGTTAAAAATTAATTTATAAATAGGATGATAGGAATATTACGCAGTCCTACTAGACTTTCAATTTGCCGACCAACAATTTTATATGCTTCTTGATAACAACATCTTCAATCCACACAATACTGGCCACCCATTACCATTCCAGTCTCCTAGTCGGTAAAACATGTTGACAATTGTTACTTTACAGAAAAAGAATAAAAGGCATTTTATTTTTAAATAATTGACGCCTCTTTTATGTCATGCTCCAAAGGACTAGCATTTCATTGTATATATGCCTTGATATGCACACAGATATTGATTTTCTAGCGCGACATTCTATATTATATTTATATTTGTCTATGTCCCCACGCAAATAACATTTAAAAAAATTAGAAAAAAAAGCCGAAAAAAATGGGTTCGTGCTCTTCACGATGTAGTAGTATATGAGAAGATGTTGAGCAGTAATAGAGCTTACAGAAAGTGAGAGTACAAAATCGAGAATCATGATTAGATATAATTCTTTTTTATAATTCTTTTTACAAGTAATTTTTTCATAAAAATATAAACTATCAGTTTTTTTTTAAATGTTATCCTTTTATAATTTTCTATGACTAGATTAAAATATTATATATTAGAGTGAACATATTTTCAAAGGTAACTATTTAATAGAATTAAACTGAATATCTTTAATTTTTCAGACAATATCAATAATTTAATTATTTTTTTAAATTTTAATTCTAATAAAAAATGTAGTTTTAAAATCCGTGTTAATCCAGCATGTTAGACTAATAAATTGATGTTATAAACTTCACGTCGTGTCCCACACAGCTCCACACTCTCTCACATATCGTCCACCCTGGGTCCCTTATATATATATTCATACAACGTTCTCCATCACTATGCACTCTGCACATAGCTGTCTCTTACTCTTTATCGCTTTTTAGTGCTTATAACAATCCCCGCGCTCCTGCCGGAATTATGACGACTCAACACCCGGTGGAGTTCGACGCTGACTCCATCGCTTCTTCTCCTCGCTCCGACCATTTTCACGAACCCTTGCCCCGTGTCCGCTTCATGTGCAGCTTCGGTGGCAGGATATTACCCCGCCCCCACGATAACCAGCTCCGATACGTCGGTGGAGACACCCGAATCGTCGCCGTCAATCGTTCCATCTCTTTCTCCGGTCTCCTCCTCAAGCTCTCCAAGCTCTCAGGTACTGATCAGTGATCGGAATTACAGCTGATCTGCTTCTTTATTTGTATCAGCGTTTTAATTTCCTGCAAGTGAATTTAACTCCGCGGGGATGGAATTGGATATGCAGGCACTACCAATATAACAGTGAAGTACCAGCTTCCCAATGAGGATCTAGACGCGTTGATTTCCGTGACGACGGACGAGGACGTGGAGAACATGATGGAGGAGTATGAGAGGGTAGCGCAGAATCAGAACCCGAGGTCGGCTCGTCTCCGGCTATTTCTGTTCGTTAAGGGAGAAGATTCTAGAGCCGGCAGTATCAGCTCCTTACTGGACGGCTCTGCCAACCGCGAGAGCTGGTTTGTCGACGCCCTCAATAGCGGCGTAGACAGGCTTGAACGGGGCCGTTCCGAGGCGTCGTCCATGATTTCTGAAGTTCCTGATTATCTCTTCGGGTTGGAAAACTCCGACGAGGCCCAAATCCGAGAACCAAGGTCGAAACTCCGACCGGTTGTCAATGACAGCGTCTCCTGTTCGGATCCTGGGTCGCCTGCTCCGGCTGTATCCTCTCCGTTTTGCTCCACCTCATCGGCTCCGAATGTGCCGTCCATGCCAAACCTCCCACCGGTTAAAACCAAACCGGATAACCCAGTTCCTGTTGTTGAATCGAAAGAATATCACATTGATGGTTTTCAACCCGGAAATCCAGCCGGTCAGGCACCTCACTACCCCTTGGATTCTACTTATCCGGGTCATTCTGTACAGCCAGTTCCAGTTTATTACTATCCGGGTCCGATTCCGGTTCAGCACGGGCAGGTGCCAGTCCAACCGGTAACAATTCAGGCGCCTTATATGCAGCCATACCCGGCGGTGGTGCCAGCTCAGGTGCCAGTGGGTTATCACCAAGTGGTTACAGGTTCGGCCCAAGCATACGCCGGAGGACTGAGACCCGTCGGTGGGATGCATCCATACGAAGCGGCGCCGACGGTTCTTCCTGATAGCATGAGGCAGCAAGCGTATCAAGCAGTGCCGAATTCCGGAGGTGCCACTGTTTATTCGGTGATGGCAATGGCCAGCGGGGACGAATCGCAGAGACCCGGAAATGAATACGGAACGGTTCGGGGCACCAACATGGAATGATTGGGCCACAACATGTGATGAAATCAAATTATTTGAAGTGGAAATATATAAACAGCTGTGAGGGTTGAGTTTAAAAAAAAAACACGAAAATAAAAAAAGATTATTGTGATTAAATTTAAGTTTTGTGCAAAGTTTGGCAGAATTCTGTACATATATTGGAAGAACTTAATAAATGTATGCAAGAAAGGTTTGGTTCTGTTCTGTATCAATTGATAGTGTAGTCCATGTTTTTTGTTTGGATATTGTGTTAGTATATTCATATCGTGGAAAAATAATTATATAGTTTAACACTTCGGACTTAAGAGTTGAGAGTTGAGAGAGTAAGAGGAGTTCTGGTGTTTTTTATTTTTTTTATAATAATAATAAATAACAACATGCAGTGATGATGATTATGAAATGAAGAATAAGGTCAAGTTGGTGGGAGTGGGACAGAGGATCTCTCACATCTGTGAAACTTGAACAAGCATTGGTGCATTATTGACTAGGTAATTGAAGCAAGAATATTCGTGTTCATTTATTGTTCCTTCTCTGCCTCCAAAGAAGCAAGATCTTTTAATATCTGCCCTCAGATTGTCTAATGCCACAAGTCCACAACTACAAGCCACAAGCTTCACGTTGTGTTCAATTCCATGGTCCATGGACAGTGTAATTATGAGCCACTGAATTGACTGCGCACACAATCTGAGGCTTTTCTAGCTGAAACTGAGAATTTTGGTGACGCAGAGTCCAGACCCATGAGGACTGTTTCATGTGGAGGCTTCCTGATATTGCTTGGGCGAGCGTCTTGTTGTTTGTTTTATTTAATATTGTGTGTGTATTTCACTTTTTTGAGTTATTCTAGGAGTTACTATGTCCTGCCAGTTAGTCTTGTTTGTCTATGCACCTAGCTCAAGTTTGCCACTTTGCCATGATCTCTTACATTGGAGGAGGTTATCAATTTTAAGATGTTTCTTGTCCCTCTTCGTCCCTTACATTAGCACTTTCTTAGATGTTGGTGCACTAAATGTTAGAAAGTGCAGCTTCCATCTCTACAAGGCTTTGGTTTTACTTGTGCAAGACCAATACCTTGTTATAGGAGATTGTATGTGGCGGTTCCTAGCTTGAGTTATTTTAGTGTTTGTAATCTTGGTTTCTATTATTAGTATGCTTGTCCTTCTGTCAATTAAACAATTTATTGTTGTTTATAAATAATGTGGTTTATTACAAATTTTATGCTCTCTCTGGTCGTCTTAAATAAAAGACTTAGTTAACTAATTCAAGAAAAAATTTAAAAAAAAATGATTATGTTGAGTATTTATTATTATTGTGTAAAAATATATGTCACTTTTCCTGTAGTTAGAAGCTAGAACCAAAACAAATTTTTCAATTGGATATTATATTTAGGACCCGAATTTTTTTTTTGGAGTGAAAAATGAATTTCATTTAAAAGAATTGATATATACAATCAAGGACTAGCCAAAAAGGCTAACAAAAAAACCTTCAAAGACATAACAAAAACTACTAAAATCAAAGATAAGTATCAAAAGATCGGTTCAGGTTCTTAGCTTAAGTAGTGTACGTGAATAGAATACAAAGATGGTGAAAAAGATCAATTGGAGTAGGAAGATTCCCCACAAAAATACGTCCCTTCCTAGTTTCCCCAAGCTTCATATTTAGGACCCGTATTTAATACTTATGTAGGTGTTGTTTGTTTTTTTGTGACCGAAAGATTATTTTGGGCTACTGTTAAAAATCCATGTTCTAGGACCACTCTCATCCGACCAATCTTATACACACACAACTACTATTTCCACCTTAAAATGTAAGTTCATTATCTAATATTTCTGTGATCCTATTTATAAATCACTTTTAATATATTTTATTAATATTAAAAAAATTTTAAAACTAATTAATTTTTTTTAAAAATTTAATAAGTTCTTCACTTTGACCTTATTAAATATACATACTTCAATAACATATTTTCTCTCTTCAATGTTTAATGAAAAGTAAAAGAAAAAATTTATAATAAAAATTTAATGACATAACATATAAATAGGATCAAAAATTTTTTTTTTGCTCTATAAATAAGACCAGTGGAGTATTATGAAAAACCTAACTTATTATCACCAAGATTTAAGGGTAAATTGACTCAACTTCTTCAGCTAATTAAACCAAGTGCCTGTCTAGAAAATGTAGATCATTTTATAAAATAAAGCTGCATTGATGAAAAGAATAATAGGAGAGAGAGATAATAAGAGATAGTTATTTTCATTCATCATGCTTGTGTAAGCAAGAGAAAACAAGAAAAGGAAAATAGTGAAAAATTTTATGTGGACAATAATAATTTTACTATTTTGAAATAAATACTTATATATAATAAAACTTATTATTCTATCATATTTTTTTCATATAATTTCCATATATTTCTAATTGAAGTTTAAATATAATTTTAATCTTAATTTATGATTATTTTATTCAATTTAAATTTTAATTATAAAATAATTCCAAAATTAAATGTTGTTATCCCTAATTTTTTTTTCTCTCACATTTCTCCCTTAATCATAGCAGGAGAGAATGCTGCCTCTCTGGTTTATCTTTCCTCTTTTGCTTTCTCTATTTTTTTTCCCCTTCACTTTTTTTCCAATCAAACATATTGTAAATGTTGTATTTCCTAATTTATTCCTGTTTGTGAGAAATATAAAGAGTATATCATTAATAATAAGACTACAGCTTAATAAAAGCAATCTTAAAGTGTCTGCATAACTTTTCAAATTAAGTTCCAAATGCCTAACTAATTTTAACAAACTCTATTAGTTTGTGTAATGTATTTGATTATTTATAAGTGACTTACATTTTGGCATGGGATATGTATCTGACTTCTTAGCTGTAATTACCTATTTACCAAATAATTTAAGATTTAAATAGGACTCGACATTTAGCTTTTTTACCACTTAACCAGGTTTCACGGCATCAATAAGTTTATTAATTAATTTATTTTTTGTCCAAACAAGACACTTAAAAACTCATGATAGAAGAAGAAAAATGCATTCTGAGTTAAGTAATTTGCTATATATTTTCAATATATATTGAGTTTTTTTAGCCAGCTATATATTGATTGAATTGGCATGGCAACCGACTGACCACAACTTACCCTATACAAATTGATAGATATTATAAAATTATTTATTCAAGATATAGTTTAAACAATTTTAAATATTAATGACCCTTAAATGTAACCTTCACATAATTCTAATTTGATGGGATTCATTTCAACTGGCTCTTTCTGACACATACTAGCCCTTCACATGATCTTATCAAGTAAAATCTCACCTAAGAACTCTAAAATACAAAAAATTATATTATAGGCTTAATAAAATTTAAAAATACACTGCAAGCCTGGGAGCTTTTTTTGTAATTTTTTTTTGTAGAGAAAAAAAAGCAATTGTCCTTGTCTTAAGAACATGTTCATGTATATACAACATAATATTTATAAATTCTCACCGCAATATTCATGAATGCATTGAAAATACAAAAAAAAAAAGAAAAGAAATTTCACAATCCAACTAAACTACCAAACCAAAATAGAATGGGTTAAAAATCTGAGACCCAAATGCTTCACTTTGTATTGAAAAATTTGTGAATCTAATTCATAAAAAATTCATCCAATAAAATGAAAAAATTATAAATTTCCAAAATAATAGACAGAAATATCACAAATAGGGCCATTGCAACACCCATCAAAGGAGTAGTTCCCCAACCAAGAGCTACTTTAACATATTCTAAATTCAAAGGTTTCAATAAATTCACTACAATAATTCATTTTGGATTAGATCTAGAACTACTTTCAATAGTTTGTGTAGCCATAAATCCCATTTTTTATTTATTGAGATATGTTAACTTTGTATATCATTCCGCTATAAATAAATGATCTTATCCTAGATCCATTTTGGTCTTGAAATTATATAACAATGGAAACAGCAACCTTAGTTGGCACATTTGGTGAACATAATTTAACTTAAAATAAAATGTATAAACAAGCAAATAATGAACAACACAGTACCTATAAATACAATATAATGTCCATCAATTCTCAATAAAATAAATATATATATATATATATAGACCTGCAACATTTATACAATATAAAATTCATAATAAATAACATACTTTCATTAAAACAATGTACTTTAATGTTCACAAATTCTCAACAATGTCTACCAAATATGTTTTGTATTCACGAACATTATGTTGAAAATTTATAAATATCATGTCATTGATACATGCACAGTCTATTATATCTTGTTTTCCCCAAGAAAATTTGTAAGAAGAATCTTTGGGTTTGCAGCATAATTTTTTGTATTTTGTGGGCGTCTGAATGAGATTCTCCCTTCTTATTATCTTAATCACACCTGAACAACTCCCCGCCACCAATAATCCTTATTTTCAACTTTTCTGGTACTTCACTAAATTCCATGCGAAGCAGAAGTGATACTCGTAATAAAGAATTAGCGATTAAAAAAAGGGAATGATAGTTGCTCCTTTTGTCATTATATATAAATTTTTAACTAAATTACATAAATTAATAAAAATTAAATATTTATTTAAAATTATAACAATATTTTAATTTTATTCTTAATTATTATAAATAAAAAATAAATCTCATTTTTCAAGACAAATTAAGTAGTACTTATCTTTTTTTCCTTTTAATGTATTAAAAGTATAATAATACATTTATTAAAAAATATATTGACAACCTTTTATAGTTAGAGATAAAAAAATTTAAAAAAAAATCTCTTATATATAGAGATAAAGAAAATAAGTCTTAAAATTTTGAATTAATGACAATTAAGTTTTTAATAAATTTTTTTAAAAAATTAGTTAAAAATATTAATTTAAATAATTATAAATTATGAGTTTAAATTGTAAATAAATATTTAAATATTAAATGTAATTCTTAAATTGTAACAGAAATTTTTATTTATGATTATTTAAATTGATATTTATAATTAATTTTGTAAGAAATTTTGTCAAAAATTTAATTATTATTAATTTAATATTTTAAAACATAACTGACATTCTTCCAAACAAAATCTAGTAGTACGAGTTATCATGGAAGATTAATTAAAGTGAGTGACGGTAAAGCAGGATTCCTTTTTATTTAAGCTTGACAAAAGAGACTGGTCGGGAGAAAAGAGGAGAGAATTTTAACTAAAAATCAAGAAAAAATATATTTACTAATAGGTCTTAAAAAATATGAATATTTTCTATAAGATTTTTAATAAATTAAAATAAAATGAGTGATTAAAAAGATCAAAATGCCCTTCTACAAAATAAACAATTACTTGATTACTATCTAAGTTTACTTGTACTTATTAATTTCTTGGTAATACTTATTAAATATTTAACTAGTTAATTTCGTAATTTTATAATCTTAAAAATATTACTTGTCAATTTCATAACTTTATTTGTTAATTTGTTAATATAACTTGTTAACTATTTAATTTGGTTTGTGAATCATTTTCAAGACTTATTTACTCAATTTGACGTAAAAGTACTATCATTAATTGTTAATTTTTTTACTTTATTTATTAATTTATCAATATTAATTGTAAATTACCTAACTTCATCTTTTAATAATTATACTAATATCAATTATCAATTATTAATTATCTAACTTTTACTCATTAAATGACAATATCAATTATAAATTATGCGACTTATTAATAATCATACTAATTTAATCATTTTATCCTAAATGTGAAATCATTACTTATTAATTTTTTAATTTTATTTATTAATTTACTAATATCAGTTGTCAGTCATTTTTCTTTCTTTTGCATAGGAGCATTTAAGTCTTTTCAACCACTAATTTTATTTCAGTTCAATTCAAAAACCTTGCAAAGAATTTTTAAATTTTTTTTTAGCCCATTGATAAATATTTTTTTTTTCTTAGTTGAAGTTCTCCCAAGAAAAAAGAAGAAGAAGAAAGGAGCTAAAAATATTTTGACTGTCATGATTGAAAGGAATATAATTCTCTTACCTTTTTTTTTTTAATCTTCCCACGCTTTTCTTCACCACCCAAAAGGATTCTTCTTCCCTAATTTCATTAACATGGTTCTTCATTGCATTCTTTTAAGTTCTAAGAAGTAAGGACTCTTCAAGCATTAATTAGCTCACCGACTTTGGCTCAGAACATATGTTCATCATCTATTGTTTGCATCTAAAGCATTATAGAATTGGTTAGTAGCAGAGGAAGCACTGGCCACCCAACATGTTGCCATTGGTCCGTATCTTTGATAGTCTTCGGAAAGTCAATTTGTTAGATTGTTGTCTGTACTGACTGGAAAAATATCCAAATTGTAATAATTATTTAAAAAAAAGTTAGAAGACCAGACAATGATTCTAATCTGCATTACGAGCAGACACAATAATGCAGTTTCCTTGTTTAATCTTTGCCTACAATAGCTAAGCATTATTAGTTTAAATTTATCAATGGGACCAAAACCTGTAACTTGGTCATGATAACCTCAATATTTTTCTTTTTCCCATGTGGAAGAAAATATAATGGTAATATTTTGACTTAGATAACACATGTTAAAATCTCTAGATACTTCTACTCTCGCATGTATCTTCGTCTTTCCCTGACTTCAATGTGAAAAAAGCTGGGATAGGAAGGAACAAAGGACCCAACTAAGAAGACAACCATTCTTTTCTTTATCATTATCAACACACAAAGCGAAGCTTCTCACTTTCTTTTTCTCATCATTACAAATTTCATCATTTGATGAATTGGTGAGAAACAGGAAAATGGAGTTTGATCTTGAAGACCCACTTGCCAGCTTTGAAGAGCAGCAAAACTGTAGCATCTCCGAACTCTTTGCCTGTGAATCTGATCATATGCCCGCTCAAAACTGCATTTCCTTTCGTTGTGAAGCTGTTTCTCTCATATCACAGGTGAAACACTAGTTTCCTCTGAATGGTCTGGTTTAGACCATTGTTGTGTTCTTACATTAGATGTTGTTTGTTTTAAACTATGGTTTTGTTTCCCAGGTTCAGTTTTCCTGCAATTTGGATCCTTTTGGAGCTTACCTTGCAAGAAACTACTTGGACCGGTTCGTGTCCAGGCAAGAGATTAAGGTATATGAACAAGTTCCTACTTACTTTCATAATGGTTTAGTTGCAATTGTAGAACTTTCCTTCATTTTCTCAGTAACTAAACACGGCAATTCTCCTTGTGAGTTTCCAGCAAGGGAAGCCATGGTTTCTCAGACTCGTTGCTATGTCCTGTCTTTCGCTGGCTTCAAAAATGACCAACACACCCTTCTCAATTTCTGATTTGCAGGTAAGCCTTCGAACTTAATAATTTTTTTTTACATGACATAAACAGATTGACTCTACGGTTTGTACTTTAATTAAGTTTCAATGCAAGATATGAATATGATGGCAACTCAAAATTAAAATGATGTTCTGTAATGAATAAATCAGATTGAAGGTTGTATGTTTGAGGCTAGAAGCATTCAGAAAATGGAGCTTCTTATACTCGGAGCTTTAGAATGGCGAATGAGGTCAATCACACCTTTTTCGTTTTTGCATTTCTTCATCTCTTTAACTGACCTTGAACTCAAAGACCCATCAACAAAACAAGCATTGAAAGAGAGAGCTTCAGAGGTCATCTTCAATGTTCATTATGGTACATACTGTATTACATTGTTTTATTCAGAAAACTCACAATTCTATGTTGATTTTCACTTTAAATTAGCTCAAACTCTGACCTCTTTAAGGCTTTTGGCTTTAGACATCAAATTTCTGGGGTTCAAACCTTCCATTGTCGCTGCATCTGCACTTATTTGTGCATGTCGTGAGCTATTCCCTCTGCAATTTTCTGCTGTGAGAGCTTCAATTGCAGCTTGTGAGTATATTGATGAGGTAAATGGCATTGAATCACTATTCTCTCAAGTAAGTGATTTTACCCTTATGATTCAGGCTTAGTATTATGAGTTAATGAGAGGGTTTATGGTGGTGATTCTAGGAGACAATATGCAGATGCTTCAATTTGATGCTGGAGATGAAGAGGATGGAAGCAGATGAGTCAGCTTTTGACTATGATACAAGCGTTATAAGCACAGAAACTACAGTGAGCACTGAGCGTGCTGGAAAGGAGCATCAAAAAGAGGAGAATCTGATTTTTCTTTGACTCTGAGCTTCATTATTATGAATATTATTATTTTTTTCAAATTCAGGAGGGATGATAAAGAAGCTGAGGATAAAAAAAAAAAAAAAACCTATCTATGTATCTGGTTCATATGTTCTTCGTGCCCAAAATCCTGAGCCAGCAGAGCGCCAAATTTCCTCTTTGGTCTTCATTATTGGGACCCCCAACCACCTGACTCTCATTTATCACAAGTACTTGTCCCAGCCTTTTGTAAAAATAAAAACCAGAAGTTGTTAAATCTAGTGGCGAGGCCTTGTAATTCTATGTCATAAATTGCAGCTGAGATTATTAGAATCAGATCACACTTGCGCGCGCGCGCGCTCAAGTAGACGTAAATGAACTGGATAGACAATAAAACAGAACTGTGCTGGGAAAGCCTCTGCCTTTTGTTTTTTTTCTTGTTGGGCCACACACGGGAAAAGCCATTTGGATTTTTGTTTTCCTCTGCTTTTAATACTTGTATCCGGTATTCTCTCACGGGAATTTATTTCAAATTATGTAACCCAAATTAGACCACCTTCTTTAAGTGCGGATGAACAACTCGACAAATAATTTATAAAAACTCAATCCATTGAACAATGACAGCGCAATGAAGATGACATCCTTGACCAAGGACCACCTGAACACTAGTCCAAACTCCTTGGGCTGGCAAAAATACAACCCCTTCACTAGACAATGAAAGATCATATGTACAAATGATCAAACTCCCAATCTCATGAGATCATTTGAAGGACAAACCTTAAGTAAAATTTGTAAAGTATTGCCATCGATCAATTTTAAACTGATAGCAAACTCTAAAAAGTGCACTTCAGGTTTTTTTCCCCCTTATCAGAAACCAAATCTTGTTCTCCATCCGAGGCGATGCAACAAGAGAGCAAACCAGCAGATAGCATTGTTTGCTGATGTGGTTATGCCTGCAATTATCAATAAGACCTGAGAATGCAAATGCCAGAGATGAAACGCTTGTCACATTCATATCTTGGGCATCATACTCCAAGTTCCACGGAGTAATGAAGTTATGTTGAGCAGGCTCACAGGAGTAAAATTCAGAAGGGGAACGATATTTCAAAATACCCCGAAAGTCTTCAGATTCAAGATTGATCTCCTGCATCTGTACTCTTTTCATTGCCAGTTCTATCATTAGACATCATGGAGACAATAGGAGGTGGATGAAGATCAAAGAGTGTTTTACTCCCTTCATTAAAGCCACCTATGTACATCGTGTCACCCCGACCATGCCAAGTGCCATCTTGAACATTGTTCATCTCCAGTGTTCTCGATTCCTGCATCATACATATGCTCATTTAGTTATCATTGTTATGAAGCTCAAAAACTTATAAGACTTTGACATGATAGCATTAGATCTAATTGAGTTATCTGACATATGTGAACATGGTTCCCACGCTTCATAGATTATACCCCTCTTTCAAAATATTTCATTCATTCATTGTATATAGCCTTCCATGGTGGACGAAATAACAACAACCAAGTAGAGAAGAGAAAGAATTTTGGAATTACCTGACATAATGTACAGCAAGGACAAATGAGATGGTAGATGCAATCATCCAAGGAACTATCCCTATCCTGCAAAAGTGCAAATGAAGAGAGCATAAGGCATAATTCAAAATCTATTTCAGAAAAACAAGAAAGTACAAAAATATTAAAAGTTACAAAAATAGCAACTCATATGGCATAATACCAACTATTACCTCGTCTAACCCCTATACAAACTGTTGCTGGCAAATTATATGTAATTTCATTTCAGAAGATCAAATGGGATTCATAAACCTGTGAAATGATAATTATACCACCAGTTTTTTTTTTCCCTCCAAGATAAGCACCTCATCCATGTAATTACACCCAACCCCTTCTACAACAGGAGGAGGAAGTATGATATGAACAAACAACAAGGACATGAAGCCACCCAGTGAAATACGCAAAACATCTAGTAGAGTCGATACTTGTCAGTACGAAAGTTAGGAACAAGAAAGAAGTTTATAGAGAAAAACCCACCTTGATGTTAAATTTCTTTCGTATACGTGTTCGGAATAAGCCTGAATATGCTCCGGTAGTAATAGCGAAGGAAACTGCCAGGTAGAGAAAACAGTGCTTGCTTGTGGCAATAAAAGCAATCAAGTTGAGAATGACACCACTTGTCAGAAAAAAGTAAGCTATTCCCTGCAGAACAAAATGAAAGGAATTCAAAAATCAGAATCAGATTCAAAGAGGTCACATAAAATTCAGTTTCGTCAAATTTTTGACTCGACTTGAATTTTCTTGCCGGAATAGAGAATTTTGACGTCTTCAAGAAAATTAACCATACCTGAACATAAGGAAAAGCAAAGCCAGCTCTGTTCACGTTCTTCCCAAATCGGTAGCAAGGACAACTGCAAAACCCAACGAGCTGTTAATTTACAAATTACAGGCATTATATATTATAAGAATCATCTATAACAGCAAAGACATTCATACAATTATGAGGGTCAAGGAAACAAATCAAAATGATTTAACTTAATTTGTCAAGAATACCCAACCCAGAAAAAACTATGGGAAGATAAAATCTCTGGGTACTGCTCGAAATAGAAACCCAAAAACAGAGAAATCTAACAACTGAATTCCTGATCCCTCAAAACAACCAGTGTTTCTGAAAACCCTTATCTCTACCCAGAATGACAAAAAGCAAAAGCCCAGCACCCCAAAAGAAGAAAAGGATGAAGAAGGAAGAAGGAAGTTACCATGTGGATTCAAGGGCGATTCGACGGTCTTCAAAGCAATCGAGAAGTTCACCTTCCCACATCCTGAAGACCCCACCAGACTCCGTAACCTCTTCTTCGTCACCAACACCACCAAGCTTCCCCCATTTGCCATGAGTCTGCAAGGCCACGGTGGAGCAAAGCATGTCGAAATCCACAACCGTCACATCCTCCAAGAGCCTCTCCTCCTCGCCCCCGCTATTCTCCTCCTCAATCCCCCTCGTCATCTGCTTCTCCGTTTCTGCCATGGCCGAAACACTTCGCTGCTAGGGCTTTATCCCTCGGAGGCCCTCCTCTTCCTCCCACAACCTTTATTATTATGCCCAAAGATCCCACATTTGGAATCCTTACACCAATACCCACAGGGAAAAGTCGAGCTTTTTTTTTTTTTTGGGTTTTCCTTTTAAATGTTGCTATATCAAGTTGCGCAGGTAATGGGTTATATTCTAATGAACATGAACCTGAGGGACGCCGTCTCCCTAAGGGATCATGGCGATCTGGTAGGCGCGGCTAATAATGGATCGTGGGCCCCAGAAGTTGTCCCATTATGAGCGATAAATTTGTCGCCACGTGGAGACGAGGATTTAGGAGAAGATAATTATTGCCCCTTTCTGCTGCTAAGTACTGTTAATTGTGTGTGTGTGTGTGTGTGTTTTTTTTTTTTTTTTTGAGGGTTTGAACTGACTAATCAGAATTACTTCTAATTCAGAAATTAACTGACTTCGGGCAATCACAATTCTTTCCGTAACTAACCAAGAATAAACGTTGCCAAAAAAAAAAACATTAACGGCTGACAAGGGAAAGAATCTTAAGAAATAAAGAAACAAAACAAACTACCAAAGATAACACCGTCTTTTTGCCATTGCATATTTTCTTTTATGGTTTATTGGGTAAATTTGATTTGATCAGGAACGATAGTATGTACATAAAAGTAAACTTATTGTGTATGAATATGAAAGAAGTTTATAAACTTTAAATTCTGATGAATATTAGGTGTTTCTATGTTTCTTGTGGCAAAAGTAGGTCAAGTGTAACTTTAAATCAAGTCTAAACATCTCTATAAAGCCTACAAGTTATCACATTAGCTATGAACTATGAAAAGTCTAAGGTAACAAATAATCCAATATATGGTTGACGCCACTAAGTCTAAAAGGCCAAAATAAAATAAAAACAGACACATTAACTTTCTTCCAAAAACATAAAATTCCGGTCACCTAATTCTGGTATATGGGTACTTCAAAAAACTATTTATAATATAGGTGACTGATGTTTGTAAGTGAGTTTGCATTTTTTATTCTGAGTTTTTGGTTAAATTATTTTGACTGAAAGAGAAGGTTGAAAAGAGACAGAGAAAAAAAGCAGAAAGGCAGGAGAAAAAAAAAACGAAACATGCAACCCATTGTTGTCGTATAAAATGAGATATATGGAGCCGACAGAATTGATGGGTATGAACGTAAAAAACATAATTAGAATCAAGTTGACAAGGTGGGATTGGGATTAGAATCCAAACAAATCTCTTTTCAAAGGTTGAAAACATGACACCATTAAATTAAAAGACGAAAGGCGCTAATATATCAGAAAGTGACACTGTAATAAATTAATATTATTATATTCACCTCGCAAGCCCACGAGCGCATCACAAGCGAGCGAATTAACATATTCTATTGCAAAAGTAAGGAATCATATTTCTATAATGGATCGAGTAAATCATAATGTATAGACCAGAAGAATGGTGGGTTCAAATCATAGTAGAGTAAATTAAGAAATAACATGAAAAAAGTGATTTTATGAATAATAAAAACATAAAGTAGATGTTGCAGGGGGAGAGAAACATGACGACAAAGTTGTGTGGGCAAAAAAAGTAGGTGTGATGGATGAGAAAATGAAGAGGGAAAGCAAGAGAAGTGAAATGGAGGAAGGTTCGGTGAGGTTTAGGTTTTGGGGAAAGTAAGAATCTTGATGTGTCACAATGTGTATGTGTAGAGAGAGAGAGAGAGATGAAGTGTGGATAAGGGCAAGCAAAGCAAAGTGGTCGGCGTGCTACGCCGACGGCCCACCCAAGCGAAGACAGACATTTCCTGATGAATTGTATCTGTTTGCCCTCCATGTTGGTTTCCTTCATTTCTCTATTTTATCTTCATATCATAATTCAAGCCTTATCCATTCTCTTCATTTGTCATCCACGGGTATAAGCAAGCAGTGCAAATGCATTGCACTACCAAATGCATTTAGTTTAATTGATTGAGTTGAATTAGTTTATTTTGAAATCTGGAGTTTGATATGAAATTATGTTAAATAAAAATGTTAAAAACACTTTCAAAATATTCAGAAAATCATCGTTGATAATAATAATCCACACAACAGAAAATTTAGATTAGTAAAAAAAAAAATTGTGCCGGTTCTAAGCCTTATGTCTGATAAGTCATTTTTTAAAAGAAATTAATAATTTTTTTGTTAAAAAAATTAATGGTCTTTTTATTATAAATCACTTTGCATAAAAAGTATATCATTAATTACTTTATTTTAATTTTATCCTTTCACAGTTTTTTATAATTACAGTAGAAAGTTATATAAAAGTAATTAAATGTTTTTAAAAATAATGCATTTAATAAGAGTTATATGAAAAAAAAATATTTTTAAACAATATTTATAATCTAATTATTTTTTAGTAAATTAGCTCGCTAATATCAAAAAATACAATTCCCATAAATTATGAATGAGATTTTTAAATATTTAAAATATGACCAATTCATAAAATTAATTAGATGTGATTTTTTTTTTATTTTCAGAATAAATATATTATTAAAACACAATATATCTCTTAAGACTAATATTTAACTTACTAAATTATGTATTCACAATCATTCTTTCATTGTAGAGGAGGAAAGTCTCATATGTCAATGCCTTTCTTCTCTCTCTCTCTCTCTATATATATATATATATATATTTTTTTTCCTAGGTATATTACAAAGTTAAGATTTGACATTGAAGACTAAACTTCATCCATTATTAGTTTAGGATTCGAATTGAAGTTGTCCTGTATTTTATTTTTTGAAAGTTGAAGAGTATTATCTATCATCAAATTTTCATCATCTTTGTTTATTTGGGTAATATCTTCACCGAATTATTAAATCATTTGTTCATAATCTATTATTTATTGTTATTAATCATGAAATTTATTTGAATTACTAACAAAAAACACATATTATTCTCTCATTTTCATGATTTTTTTTATTTTAGGTATTGGATTTTCTATGATAAGCTAAGGTGTCTAGAATTTTTTACAAACCTAATTTTATTTGTTTTGGATAGATGATTATGTTGTTTTCGTATTTCTGATTTACAATAATATATCATGGATATACTCTTACAGATCAACATAATCAGACAATCAGACATAAAATTATTTATTATTGATATACATCTGTATATCAATGATATAGTATTACATATCAGTAATATAAAAAATACATAATAATTTGTCTAAAACAAATCAAACACAGTTTACAAAAAAATTTGCAGCTTTGTTTCCCCGCTGGCATGCTCCATTCCATTAAGTACCATTGATGTCTTTTGCCTTGCGTTTGCCTCTCGCTATCATAATTGTGGCTCACTCACACTGCTCTGCTTTCTTTTATCTTCGAGTTTGATCTACTTATTTCTTCCATCATAACTATAGCTCACGCTTGCCTATCCCATTTGCTTGATTTTTTGCGTTTTTAGTCTTGCAAAAAGTAAAGTGTTATAATTTTAAAAGGGTAATTTTATAAATTACATATTAACTAAATATTAAAAAATTTATTTTTAACATTTAAGAAATGATAAACTATTTTTTTATTTATTCTTATGATATGGGCTATATATGTAAAAGCCTCATTATTTTTTTTCAATACATTAGTTAGAAGTAATTTGTTATATAGGAGTAGAGGAAGTTTTATATATTATTTATAACTTAATTACTATGTGATTTACCGTAAACTTTTATACAAATGCGATATGAGAGATTCCAACAAGCCACATCTTTTTATAGTTGCCAACCAGCTCATAGCGTCAATCAATTAAACCAAACAGTCTCTGATGAATTCTTTGAAGCTAGCTATCGTCTCTAAATTTGGTAAAAGTCAACCGCAAGGTAATGATTAATTGTTCCAAAAAGAACACAAATTAATAGTCATATAACATATTAAAATAATTGTAGCTAGCCATTCATTTATATTCTAGTTTCGTATGATAATGAATATTGTTGATGGCAATAACATAGAGAGGACAGAGTGGAAGGGGGCAAGTGGCATCACGTGAATACTTGGGAGCGGGGAATCATGGTTGACAAGCAACCGCATTAAATTAAACTGAATTAAATTGGAACATCATGGGGCAACCAAAGCTTAACATTGTAATACCCCGGATCTGGCTCATAAGCATATGATTCATCCATGGACCCCCATCAAATAATTAAAACTAGTATGCATGAGATTAATACACATCCACATTCCATAATCCCTATTGGCTAATGAAAATGGCCCCACGGTCACATGAGAGGATGAGAAATTACAAGAAGAAGAATACAGCTCAGCCAAAGCTATCCTTCCCTTCCACCTCCACCCATCCTCCACATTTCCCATCTCAACAACTTGCCTTTAAATGTCTCTCTATCTAGTTTCCGGAACAAACAGGTAGAAGCAGAAAGAGATATTGGTTTCAATGGGCCAACAAAAAGAGACATTCATTTTCAGAATAAATAGGACACTTAATAACTTCCAAATCAGCAAGTGATAACCCAGACAAAAAAAAATATAACTATAAAAGTTATCATATTACACCTCTTTTTAAAACCCATCACTGTTAAAAAGTCAACAGTTTCATTGCCTTGGCAAGCCATCAAAGAGAAACAAACATCCTTGCATGATTCTTAAGCTACAATAATATCTTGTATAATTTTAAAACATTTACAATTATAATCAAGATTAAGTACCTGTTAACATTTAAAAGAGAATCTCACAGTTCATTTTTATAGGGACCATCTGATTAGAAAAATGCTAAGCTAACCTCAAATCTTCCATAATAGCCAAGCATTCAGCCATAGCAACAATATTCTTTCTACAACCACTCAAAAATTTTCCAAGTTCATCTCTGCAAACAAGACCAATACTAAAAGACTTCAAGATATTATAAAAGGAGCCATCAACATTAATCTGAACACCCACTAGTATGTATCTCCTCCAATACAAACTTCTATCAACTAATTCCATATGCACATCATGTTTTTTTTTCAATTTGCTTTGGAGTTTCATTGAAGTCAAAGCTATTGACTTCGGACACCCAATAATTTACTTAAAAAATAAAATAAAATAAAGGGGTCCTATCATATCCCATATCCCCCCCCCTCCCCTTCTTTCTTCGTTGGACCAGTAATCCAGGTAGATATGATTGTGTGAATAAAAGCAGGCCCTTTTAGCCTTCTCAATCCTCACATGCCTAATGCTTTATATCTAACTGTCAGTTTCAATTTTTTAGGCCCCAGCCTCTTTATCTTTCAAACATTGGGTTTACAAAAATGGCCTCCCCATTCACTTGGGAACTCATGGGCCTTGCGTTGGCTTCGCCCAATACGTTGTTGAGTCCAACTAATGTTGGGTCAAGAGTCAGCCTAGTTTTGTTTCTTGTTTTCAATTATCCATTGCTCATCCCACCAAAAAAAAAAACAACCAAAGCTTTATAAAAAAATAAAAAACTTTTAGTTTCTCAAGTTTACATCAATTATCAATTTGATCCTCAATTTTATTTTTTATCAATTTAGTCCAGTAAATTTGCCTCAATTATTGATTTGGTCCTTATCATTTAAAGATAAAATAATAATGTTAAAGTTAAAAAAATGAATTCAAAAATTTTTAAAAATAAAAGACAAAAATGCAGTATAAGGGATTATATTGATAAAAATTAAATTAATTTATCAGTTAATTCATTCTTGTTAATTACATATACATGTCAAATTATTAATATACTTTACATATTAGAATAATTCAAAGGATCAAGATTGTCTGAAATATGCTATCTAAGTCTCGGTGAAGTTTGGAAAATCACAGCCATCAATTAAATCAAGCTAGAGAATTGTGCCACATAATAATTGGAAACACTTGAGGGACTAATATAATAATTTAAAGGTTAATTTGTGTTTAAAAATTTAAAGGACTAACATGTTAATTAAAAAAAATAAGAGAATAAATTAATAAAAATTAAATTTGAGATATCAAATTGATGATTGTAACAAATTTGAAGGATTGAAAGTTTTATTATTCTTAAAAAATTATTAAAAAAAATATAAAACCAAAACATTCTCGTCTTGTTTGCATGCTGGAATCTTGCTTGTCATCTTCAAACCAAACAGAATCCAAACTCGTCCTGTTTTGTTTTGCTTTTTGCCTTTTTCATAGTGTCCTTTTATATTCGAGGCATTGGGAACTAAATAAGTACATGTAGATGGCGCCTCTCCTAAAGATTCGAATATATATATATATATAAAGACAAGTACAAAAACTCGATGTGATAAACAAAGGACAAAAGTCAAAGAAATCAGAAAAAGACTAGCTAAATACAAGTTTGTCTCCGAGGTAGAAAGTCAAGATGGAATCAGGTGGAGTACGGATTAATTCAATATCTTGTTCCAGCAAATGAGCGGTTTTCGCAAGAGAGTCTGCACTCTGCATATCGTAAGTTAGTTCTCCTTCAGTAGCGGATTTCAATGTCCCATTCTGAGAAGATCAGGGACCTCATCTCATGAATCTCATTAAACCAGGGGTGCTTCGAACCAGCATCTTTCACTGCAAGTTTGATGGTGTCTGGGGAACCTCAGCAAATTGTAAGCTTGGAATAGCCAAATTGCTTGCAGACCTGCAAACCCGTTTTGACTGCTACACGTTCAGCCACTGCTATTGGCATAAAACCCAGATTTTTCTGAAAACCCATGATCCAGTTTAATCTCCTATTACATTTCATCCAGTTTCTGGAAAGCCAAAGATTCGAATTTTAATTCCCCACGTTATAACGGCTTCTTTTGTTTTTCCTTTTATTTAGGATTAAAAAAGAAAAATATATTTAAAAAAAATCTGACTAGAAACCTTCCATACCAGATCACAGAAGATGGACGTTACCAAAAAAAAAAAATGGAGCACCATAGGAGAACAAGAGCGAGGAAGAAGATGAGAGAAAAAACAGAGGAAGGTCATGGTTGAGTGAAAATGGCTTCCTCCAAGAGGGACTTGGAATTGTTCATCAACTCTGGGCTCAACCTGAACATAAGAATGCAAAACTCCATTTCATCGAGAGCACCATCTCCGTCCAAATCACCTTCCCTGAGCATACCCATTATCTCGTCGTCGCTCATCTCCTGCAACCCCAGCGACGCAGAGCTCTTCTTCAAGCTCTCGAACGTGATCACCTCCTCCTCTCTGTCCATCAGCAGCTGAAATCCATTCCTCAGTTCCCTCATGAACCCCTCCATGCCCAGCTTCTCCACCATGCTCGGGAAGTAGTCCTGAAAGACCAAATCATTGTTCTGGGACGCCATTGATGATGAAGCCAAAAGGAGGGTCTCTCAGAATATATAGTGGTGAGGTGGGGGAGCAGAGTGATGAGAAGGGGGGGAGGGGGGAGGGAGAGAAGTGAAAACGACAAGAGGCATAGAATGGGAGCGATTGGCTTCTAATCGCATCGCTTAAATACTCCAGACCAGGAAGACGAAAACGGTAGAAATAATAGAGAGTAAGGTAGGGAAACGGAAATGGCATCATGACAAAAATAGGTGGAGAGAAAAGTGTAACTAAAGGGCATTCAAGTCATTTCATTCTAAACATATAGTATTGTTTAACGTTGCTTGGATCATCTCCAAATATTTTAGGACTTGGGAATGTGAGTGATTCACCATTTCACCCACGTGTCTCGTTTCCAATGGACGTTAAGAGGAGGGAGTTGGAGAAGGAAGGTTCGTGGAAGTTGCTTGGGATTGGGAAGCTGGAGATCAATTTGTGGGGCCCTTATCTGCCTCTCCAACGCACCACATGGGATCTAATATTTTTCTTTGATCTTTTTTATAAATTATTTTTATTAATTTTATTAACATCAAGGTAAAAAAAGTAAAATAATAAAAATATATAAAATTTTAAATATATCCTATATAATAAATTTAAAAAATATTATCATATTACTTTTTTCTTTCATAAAAGATAATTTTAAAAATGTATCTTAAATATTACTTAAAAAACTGTATCATAACTTATAAATAGAATTAAATAAATTTTTTACAACGTGTCTTATAAATGAAATCAGAAGAAGTGTTGCCTATTACCTAGATATCTTTCTCAAATAGTTTTAGGATTTTGGATTGATTAAAATAAACTAGATTCATACCCATGCATCTTAGTTTTAAAAAAATTATTTTAATATTCTTAAAGTAAAATATATGTTTTTCCTTTATTTTTATTTTAATTACAAGAAGCTTCTAAACACTAGAAGTAAGCTTTTGAAGCTCGAATCTATCTTTCTCTTTCATTTTCTTGATGTTATAAGTTAGGGTTTGGTTGAAAAAGATATTTTTCGACCCTGGAGGCTACAAGTTCGAAATCATTGACTTAAATAGAGCTAATAAAAATTGATTAAGCTAATAAAACCTAACATTTATGGTTTTGTGAGTGTTGGTGGTTGGAAGGCAATAAATACCCAAAGATCCCCACTATACATATGGTAGTTGGGGCAATATGACTTCGTTAATGATTATTTAAAAATTCAATAAGGTTAATGTGAGTTAGAAGAAGTTAAGAAATTCTATTGGTACCATTGTATGGGAAGATATTGAATCTTAAGAGTGAAGAAGTATTGGAGTTAATGGTAAAAATTATCAAAAATGGGTATTGATAAATTATATTGTGATTAATTATAGAGTGAGCATATTTGACACTATTGAAGCTTTGTGAAAGGTTTGGGAGTGAGTATTTGAGGGGTAAAATATTTAACCTCTTAAAGGTTTAAGATAACTCAAGAAATTCTTTCGTTTGCTTTTATGTGTTAATTAATTTATTAATTTGTGTTTGAATATTTAAATGTGTGAAATCGAATAAAATGCAAGTGTGACATGAAATGCTTAAAAAATTCATTATAATGATTTTATAAAGTTTAATGACATGGTATATGTAAAATTCTATGAAACATTGTTAGTAAAGTGCTATGATATGATTTCTTTGAAATTCAATGATATGAGTTAATAGAGAGTTCAATGATTATGTATTAAGTGAAGATTCAATGACTTGATGTGTGAATGGTTCAATGAAATAGAAAATTATGAATTTCAATAAAGTGATATTTCAAACCAAACCTTCCTTTTGCCAACCTATTGAGGAAACAATTGTTGAAAAACTGAAGACCAAAGACCTAAAGATCCACCTCAACAAAGAAAAGTGCCTCTGCCTCCTAAAGGTTTGGTTGAAGATATTGATCTAGAACTATCTCAAGATTCTCCTTAAGCTACTGATGGCTCAATTGCTACATTGGATCCCATTCCACCTATGGATCTAAATAACTATTCTACGTGGGCAATGGTTCTATCTACTTAACCCTTTAATCCAGATTATCTGTTTGATAAAGAAATTTTAGAAGCCCATCTCAAACATCAAATTTCCTTTTCTTAGAAAGGCCTGCATCTTTTTGTTGATGCCAAAGAGGGAGAAGATATACTAGAAAAATAGGCTATACTTAAGGGGAGTTGTATTAGAACATAGTCTTAGGAAGAAGTCTTTTGTAAAGGTTTTGTATTTTCATTGATAAATTGTCATGCTATAACTTGTACTCTAACTTTTATCAATGAAACATTACAAGTTATTCATTCATGTGCTAAATTTATTGATTGCAAGTTTAATGATTCTGTACTTTTAATAATTACTCTTTCATATCCTAGTAAGGGGCTTTATATTCAACAGAACTAACAACCTTAATCTTAAGGTTTTGTCATTATCAAAAAGGGGAGATTGTTGGATCATATGTTTGGTGATTACAAAACTAAGAGAAGAGATATTTGTTATATGTACAAATATACGAAGATATGAATGAAGACAAAATCTCAAGAGCATGAAGAATCGAGAGAAGATGAAGAACTTTAGGATAAGTCATTTAAATTTTCTTAGATTCAATGTGACTTTGAGAGCTTAATCACATTTCATATTCATTAAAGTGAATGCATCATCTTTAGCTCTATAAGTCTCATTTATACACAGTAAGTCTCATCTAAGTATATTCAAGCTTGCAAGATATGTCATTCTAGCTTGTTATGGTTCATATAAGCTAAATTCTTTGTGGATTGCAAAATCACACGTGATTCTATATGGTCACTCATGAGATTTAGCATGTTGGCACATTAATTGACGTTTCACGCAAGAATTAAAAGTTATTCATATGTGATTTATCACTTGTGTTATGTGATGCCTTAACTTTGGTTCTATGTTCCAAATCATGCAAGTAACCCACTGGTCTGCACGCAAGTTTTGTCAAGTTATGTTTCATTATATTGTGTTATGAGCCATTTCACACGTGAGAGCTAATGGTAGTCACGTGTGACTTGTCATTTGTTCATTGAACCATCTTGCCATATTGAGTCTTAAGTCATCTCAAGCTAAGTTCAATTTACTCACTTGTGTGATCTATGATTTACAAATTCATATTTCTTGATTATGCAATATCTTGCTTGAGTGCATTGGAATTCTATATGTGACATGTATCTCAGAATGGTTTAAGCTTTACTACTTGCCAATATTATGTTCCACGCGTGATTCATCCTCCCGAATGGTCTGGGTTTGAAGCAAGTCATTTCATGCATGATTGATGATTGCTTCCACGTGAGTTTTTGCACGTAGAATTGGTACTGGCTTTTTGTAAGCTACACTACATGTGAGAGAAAGAGAGTCGCATATGAGTTTTTTACACCCAGAAATGATTGCATATTCATTTTGTCCAAACCACACGTGAGACAACCTGAGGTTCACATCTAATTTATGACATACACATATCTGGAACATGATGAGAGCAATTTCACACATGAAATAGCAGGGTTACACGTAAGAAATTGCACCAAAGGCTAGAAACATTGTTTCAACAGTCTGACAACTATCAAAACTATATATATGATATAATTCAAGTCTAAACTAGAACTTTTAATTATTAAGTGAACTTTTCTTTATCTAAGCATTCAAAAAGCTTTTAAATTGTGCTTAATTATTTAGCAGCATTCATCATTCTTAAAAAAATTGTCAAAAAGTTCTCATAAGTTTATAAGCTTTCAATTGTAAATTTATCCATTCTTTAGGAGAGTTTCTTTATCAAAGGTCATCTCATTCTTTTGAAATCTTGAAAAGATATTTTTCAAGTATTTATAACAACTTACTGGACTGTAACAAGGTTTGTTGGTTGATTCAAAAACAAGTTAAGTCTTGTAAGTTTACTGTGGTGGCAAGTACTCATTAAAGCTTGTGAATTTAGTTGGAAATCTCAAGTGTAATCTTGAGGACCAGATATAGGCCAAGTTTGGTGCTGGACCAATATAAATCTTGTGTGTCTCATCTTCTTCCTTCAAATTAAAGCATTTCACTCTTTAAGTTTTTGAAGGTTTTTAAGTGTCACCCAATTTACTTCCCTTGGTGCTAGCCTATCTTACAATAATCTCTTGATTACTTGAGATTTGGAGTTAATCGGAAAACGTGAGGGAGATTTTGCAAAGTGATATTCACATGTTGCTTTCTTGTTGTTCTAAACAAGTGCACTCTTCTGCAAGAGAAGTCCTGACATGCAATTTTGTGCCTTTGCAACAAACTAAGCTTCCTTGCGTAGATGAATGTAAACTTAAAACTTTTCATTATAGAGGGGTATTTGATTCTCTATAATAAATTAAAATATTAAAATTTTTTACAAACTGTGTTTGATCTATTTTGGGTAAATAATTGTGTTTTTGTCATGCTTCTGATCCACAACTGTATGTCATTAATAAACTATAGCAATGAAAAACTTATCAATACTATTTAATCTTATAGATATAGGAATGCTTAATCTTGTCATTTCTTATAATAAAAATGAGATTTATTAATTTAAGTATTTGATTCTCTACGAAAAGTTGAAATGTCCAATTTTTTTATGAATTGTGTTTGATTTATTTTAGACAAATGATTATACTTTTTTTTTGTATTTTTATCTACGATAGTATATTAATAATAGACAATTGTATATCATTGAATAAACCATATAAGTAAAAAATTATCAACACCATTTAATCTTGTAAATATGAGGATGCTTAATTTTGTCATATCTTTTTCTTTTTTTTTTAATGATCAAATGAAGCTGTATTTCATCTTTAAGTATTTAAAGAAGGTTTTTATCCAAAAAAATATATTTGAAAGAAGGTTATATGATCTGCAAAGAGGGTAATTTTATCATATAAAGCTTAACTAAATATTAAAATGATTATAATATAAAATATAATAAATGTTAGACTATTTATTAAATTTAGTTTTATAAAATGGGTTATATATGTAAAATTCCATTATTTTAATCAATCTAAAATTCCAAAATTGTTCAAGACCAAATTGTTGAGGTAAGAGACGAT